TAAATTAATGATACACAAGTATTTAAACTAATGTTTGACGTTATTTGATTTTATCATTGTTTTCCAAAGCCTTCTAGTTGCGAGTATGTCCAGTTTAACAATTTGTCGCTTATCTTAATGCTGTCAAATCGCGAACGCCATGTTGTTTTCATAGCCGTCTTAATATTATAATACTGCAAATAATTAAAAATATTTATCGTTATTTTGACTTTATTTTTGACTTTAGCGGAAAAGTTATTATGAACTTTTTTGTTTAAAATTTGATGCTTTAACAGAAAAAAATATAATATACAGGGGTTTCCATTTAAAAAAATGTTATTTTACTGAAAAAAATCAAAATAACGACTCTCAATTGTTTTTTTTTATTTCTCATTTTTATCAGCGTTAAAAATGCTACTAGTTTGCTAATTCAAACAACTTTGTATTTTCACTAATAACAAAGTTACTAATGGTGGACACTTAATTTGGATAACCCTGTATATTAGAAATGTAAATAGGCAAAGGGTCAGAGACGGTGCCCCACAATATTTGATGCATAAAAAATATCTAAGCGATAATGAAGATCATCTATCTTTTTGCTGGTGATACCACAATACTTTGGCAAGATACAGGTATAAATGAAATCAAGAAAAACATGGATAGTGATGTACAATCAATCAAAAAGTGGTGTGACAACAATTACCTGACTTTCAATGTTGATAAGACAAAATGTAGGACTTTCAAATGTTTCCTTGATTTTATAAATATAACTAATGAATTGATACACAAAACAGATACGATCAAGTTTTTTAAACTGACTATTGATCATAAATTTTACTAATCATGTGGACAAATTGCATTCTCAACTAGCAAATACTCGTAGTTCCTTTATTTTAAGAGCATTTAGTTACAACGTAGGAAAAATCACATCTTTAAGCAGTTACTTTGCCTTTGCCAGTAAAATTAGCAGCATTCCCTTTTGGCGTGTCTGTTCCTAAAATTATTAAAAAAAACTATCAGATATATAATTAGAAGCAATCCTGGAATTACATGTACGTGAATCTTAAAATAATGACTGTATTATTTTCAGTATCATCAATATTTCGTATACTTAGTATTCTTTTCTGTATTGTGCAGTAATAAAATTATTTAGTTCATCAAGATTTATACGTGGTATGTTGGTGAAAGTAGGAGGTTTGCCTCTTAGTTGACTTACGACTATTTATGTCTCCTTGGTTTTATTTCCTAAGCTTATTATTCCCTGCTTATTATAAGTATTTTTTATTGAAGCTATAACTTAGTAACTTACACATTCTATGATATGATATACAGTAGTTATTGACACTTTTTTTATAAATTCCTTGATGTAGTGTAAGGATCTCCAATTTCTAGATGATATCCTCAATCCATTTGTGATCCACGGTTTTATTCTTGATTTCAACTTTTTGGTATGGAAAGCTATCACCAGAATTGACCACTGCTGATGTAAAGACAGGGAGCTGTCTGGTGGAACTGTATTCCAGTTCGCATTGTCTGCCGGGATATCACTGTGGCCGCTAGATCCCGTCGATTCTGATACTGTAGTCCATGGATGGCCGTCGGTGGTCGGACGAACAAGCGCTATATCACTAGTTTGTTTAAAGACGAGTAGACTGTACCTACTATAGCATCAGAATCGGCGACATCTAGCGGCCACAGTATGGTGTCCCAGCTGCCAATGCTAACTAGGGTACATTTCTAACAGACAGTTTGCTGTTTTCAGTCTCGCAGGGGTCGATTCTGATAATAGATGATACTTGCTACTCTTTAGACCATAAAGCAAATTTATCTATTTATCTATGGCACAATTTGAATTTCGAAAAAATTCAACCACAATAAAAGCACTTCTCACATTATTAGATGAAGTACTGGATAATATAGAAGATAACTCTAATACTATAGCTACCATGTGTGACTTGACAAAATCATTTGATTGTGTCAATTCACATATACTATTGAAAAAACTAAAATACTATGGCATAGGAAATACGAAGCTAGCACTGTTTCGTTCATGTTTGTGTAATAGGAAGCAGTATGTAAGCTCCGAGGGCACCGCCTCTGACCTTTTGCCAATTTGCAACGCGGTACTGCAGGGATTTAGTACTTGGTCTCCTGCTATTTCTAATATATAACATATTAATGACCTGCCCTCGACTATTGACAACGGGCCTGCTCCCTATTTACAGACGACACCGCCAGGATGTGTAGACCTGTCCAAAACACAGGTGTGGATAGTCTCGAGCAAGCCAAAAGGTGGTTTTTAGTTATCACTAAATGAAAACAAGACATACCATACTACATTTTCCTCTGACAGGTGGGTTGTGGCTCCTGAACCAGTAAAACTTCTAGGAATAGTAGTTAATACCAGAAAACTGGACAACCCACATTGATTATTTACATTCTGGACTGTCTACACAATTATTTGTTCTTAGGCGGCTAAGCAGATGTATCAATAACCATGCTTTGCGGGTAGTGTACTTCAGCATGTTCCATAGTCACACTACATATGGCACAATACTTGAAGGGGGCTCAGTAGCATCTAGCAAAGTTTTCATTTTACAAAAAAGGGTTTGAGGATAATTACGAATTTCATAAAAATCTACAAATATTACTACTTCTATCAATTTATTTTTTTAAAGTCCTACTTTATGTGCACAGAAATCTAAACTAAATTTGTTTATTATTTATGATATCACTGGTGAATAAAATTAAAATATTTTTTTGTGATATGGACAAAACAAGGTTGCTATTATTTAAAACGTACCAAAAAATCCGGAAATAGCCCACGGTTTTCTTGCAATATGGCATTTTATTTGCTGCTTATACCCGTAACATATAGGGATATGTGTGTGAATTTTTAGAGACATGCTACACCCCTTCCCTTTATAAGCATTAATTAACTTCAATCACAATATCTTTATAATTGTCCGCCTTCACATTACCTAAGAAATTTGCAGTATATGATTTAAAAGCATTCCAAGCTCGTAATTCAATTTCATTTAGAGCACTGTCAAATACATCATCCTTAATCATTTTTTCGTATTTGTGGACCCACAAATATGTCCTATATAATTTTTGCCTCACTAAATCTCGGAAATGGTTGTTTTAAATGCAGAAACCCTCTTCCATTTCGATCTATAGCTTTCACAAAATTTTTCATCAGTCCCAACTTAATATGCAAAGGTGGAAGCAACACGTTTCTGGGATCAACTAGTGATTCACGAGCAATGTTTTTGAGGCCTGGAGTTAATACCTGACGTAGTGGCCACTCCTTCTGTTCCTAATGACGATCTCGCGCACGACTGTCCCATTTACAAAGAAAACAACAACATTTGGTATTTGTGATCTCCCAGTTGCATTCCAAGAAGAAGGGCTATTACCTTTAGATCTGTACATATGGCCCATCCATATTCATTATAACGGATATTCTTTAACAGAACTCGCATATTTTCATATGATTCCTCGATATGAACTGCGTGCGCTTTAGGTACAGATGGATATTTATTACCGTCTACCAATACCGCCTTTAAACTAAGCTTAGAGAAATCAATGAACAGGCGCCAATCATTTGGATCATGTTTCTGTCCTACCGCGTCAAAAAAACTGTTGACATCAGAGCAATATATCAACTCCCTTTCTTGACGGAAACAATGTGTGAGCTCTTGTTGCCGTTTTCAGTAAAAAGTAATGTTAACATCACCGTGGAGAAGATTCCATCCTTTTAATCTTGACGCTAAAAGTTCTGACTGGAATTTTGACAGATTGAATTATCATTAAGTTCGCCCTGTGTGATCAAATGCGGCGCTGTTGAACATCCTATCAGGTCAAACGAAGGGTCGGAAATTTTCACGTTTTCTGTACCATCAGTTTCAGAATCGATGGATTCGACTTTTTCATCCAAATGCCAAGATTCTGGTGGAACTGGGACAGCAAGTTCATCACTATGCTTAACGGGCCGCAAAGCTGCTGGTAAATTAAAATACTTAACAGTATGTTTCGATTTTGGTCCAATACCTTTAATACGTATTTGTGAGGCAAAAATAGCAATCAGTAGTATGGTCTCTCGGTTCTCTCCAAACCATTGGTACCGCAAAGGCCATTTTACGATTGTCGCCTCTTAACCAACCTGTTAACGTTACACAAGTCTTATAACATATATGAGGGGCCCATAGTTTATCTTGGTCGCCAACTCTAATTCCAAAATAAAGTTCGTACGCTTTCAACACAAGGGGAGTAAAAGTACGTTTTTGGGATTTAAAAGTTAGCTCTCCGCACACATAACAAAAACTGTTCGAACTACTTACACAATTTCTAGGCATTGTCCATAAAGCTACTCTCGATCACAATAAACTAAGAACAACACACCGTTTTAACGCCGAGAAATGCAGCAATATGAGATGTGACGTTCTGTAATTCATAAAAGTAGATGTTACCGTATATCTGTGGGTGAAAGAAAAATTCTGTTTTTAGATTTGATTTAAGGGTCTCAAAATACATAAGGTACACCCAAAATTGTCATGTCACAAATCCTGTGGTTATCAGTGTATTTAATATCAAACCTCTGCACGCATACACACTCATGGACTGCGCCGTGTTAATTACCAAAGGAATCCATACTGGCGACTGAATATGACTAAAACTAATAAACCTAACCTTAAATCAGGTAAACGACTTGTCAATTCAAATGAACACAGTCTTGAAAATATGTCTAACCGCAACTTTGCTTAAAATAGATTGTTTAACCAGTGTTTCTGTCCAGTTGATCAGTACATTGATGCTGACGTCACTCGGATATATAATAAATTAGTTTGTGAGACCTCACTTGTACATAAAGAACCTAGGAATATATTACCTTACACCCTTATTTGACAAACGTCAGAAGCTGTCAGAATTTTGGGACATTTCCCAGGGAGCATTCGTTTCTACTGCACTCTAGAATGACTCCTGGACTATTTCCATAATCATTATTTTTTGATGTCTAGGTACTATGCGACAAACGACCGAATAGTCATCCTATGGAAAATGATCGTGAATATGATGATTGAATCTTGTGAAAGGTCCCTGGATCCGAGCAACATTTTTCAAGGGGACGTGGAAGAAATCTTCAAGAAACTGAATCTAACCGTCGATGTTCTGCAAAAAGTGCAAGATTCGTTTGAATACGTTCGGGAAAACTTGTCAGCATGCTACAGAGAACCCGCTGAAGGAGAAGAACCGGTTGTGCAGAAGCCATGGGCTTTTCATAGAAGGAACATTTTCCAAAGATTGATCGACTATGTTGGAAGATTAAAAGTGGTAAGATATATATATATATATATATATACGAGTATATATACACAGGGTGTTCGCAACGTTGAGGTTTTCCTTTTCAGACACAACTACGCTTGATATATATATGTATAATCATTAACCCTTTTACCTTGCGGTGTTGGGTGTACATTCTTGAACTTAACTAGTCTTAATAGTCTTGAACTAAACCTCCTCCATTGCTTCTTATCCTTAGCCGTCCTTCTAGCTTGCTCCTGGGTGGCTCCTCTTCTTTGCAGGATGTCGTTTAATTCATTGTCCCACGTTATCATCGGTCTCCCCTTTGGTCTTCTGTTTCTTCTCCTTGCTTCCCATACTTGCTTCGCTGGTCGGTCATGGTTCATTCTGATCATGTGTCCAAACCATCTCAGCTGGGCCTCTTCTATTTTCTTGAGGATTAGCTGTACTTGTATCGTTCTCGTCCTTCTTCATCCCGTATCCTGTTCATCCTAGTTATACCCATTACCCTTCTTAAATACTTCATCTCCATGCTTTGTCGTTTGCTCTTTAGTCGTTAGTAGTTAGAGTCCAGCTCTCACTACCGAATGTCAGGACAGGCACAAATACTGTTTTGTAGATACTTATTTTGGCTTCTTGTAATACTTCTCTTTTGGATAGGAACATGTTCTTAATTGCGTGATATATTCTGGCGGCATTTGCTATTCGTGCTTTTATTTCTGCTTCTTGGGAACCCTAACTCTCTATTTGGACTCCTAGGTACTTCAATGATTCTACTTGTTCCATTACCTCATTGTTCACTTTTATGTCCATGCGTTTCTCGGTGTTCCCCCATATCATAACTTTGGTTTTGTTTACGTTGATCTTTAAGTTACGTTGTTTTAGTTTGCCCCTCTATATTTGTATGTTTTTCCTAAGTTTCTCTTCGCCGAATACAACTAAGTCATCAGCAAAAGCGCACTCTGCTATCAGTATTGCCTCCAGGTTTCTATGGCCAACATATATTTTCGAAGCTTCTGTTCTGATTTCTTTCATTATGTCGTCTAGTACTATATTGAGCAGTAAGGGGCCTAGAACACTCCCTTGTCGTAGGCCTTCATTGACTTTGAACTCTTTGGATTCCATATTGTCCGTTCCTACCCTGTTTCTTGTGTTGTGGTGCATGCTCATGATTGCGTTTCTTAGTATTGTCTCTACCCCTCTCATCTTTAAGCTTTTGATAATTTCTGACCGTAGCGTTCTGTCGAATACTTTTTGTAGATCTACGAATGCTTGGTACAGTCCTGTTCTTGTATTTCTTACGTTCTGTATGAGCTGCTTAAGGCTGAAGATGTGGTCATTGATACTTCTTCCTTTTCTGAACCCACTCTGCGACTGCTCAAGCGTCTCATCCACTGCATTTAGTAGTATTTTTTGTAGTATTCTTAAATAGACTTTAGAGGGAATACTCAGGAGGGTTATACCCCTGTAGTTACTACACTCCCGTCTATCACTCTTCTTATGGATGGGTAGGATAACCCCCACTTCCCAATCTTTGTATCTTGCTGTCATTTCAAGCAATGTTGCAGATTTTTCTGAGCATTTCTATCCCCTTTTCTTTCTTGCTTTTTAACATGTCCGCTGTTATACTGTCGTATCCAGCTGCTTTTCCTCTTTTGAGGTTATTTATCTCTGTTCTCCATTGTTATTTTCACAGCCTCCCCATGTGATCCTAGTACGTCGGAGGGATCTCTTTCGTTGACTCCTACTCTTCCATCTCCTTCTGTGCTGTCTATTACCTCAGTTACTTGCTCCCAGAAGGTATCTTTAGATTAGCTGGTTCATTGTCATTTGGGCCATATAGGACTATGAGATTCACTAATTTCTTTTCATCAGTTGTGAGCCTTATTTTTAGGATCCTTTCTGTGATACATTCCCAATCCTTTATGTTATTGGTTAGTTTTTTATTAATTAGGCAGGTGCTTTTGTCGTGTGTGGTACTCCGCTGAGGATCAGAAAATGGCCATACTCCAGACTCTGTGAACTTGTTTCCTTTTTCTTTGTGTCCGTTGTTCCTAGTATGTCTGTGTTAGCCTTCTCAAACTCTTCTACAAGTTCCATCTCTTTACCATTGAGCCCTCTTACATTCCAGGTTGCTATTGTCCATCCTTCTTCTATTTTGTCGCTTGTATGGGCCGTTATCCCCAAACTTCTTTTAGTTGCTGGTTGGGGTTTCTTATGTTCCTCTCGTCTTCGGTCTGTCTCGATTTGTTTGTGTTTAGCTTTCTCCATTTCTTCGTTTCTGGTATTACTATTGCTCGTATCCTTTTTCATTGTCAGTTTCGTCATTGTTTTTTCCCCGCTGTGCCTAGCTAGTTTTTTGGTTTGTCTATTTTTTGTTCTTGTTATGTGTGTTATGTGTTGTGTATACATGCGAGCAGTAGTCATTGCCATTGACAACGACCAGTTGGCTAAGAAGTACGATTAATTATTAATTGGGAAATTGGCAAAAATTTAGGTTTTAGTAAACTCTTTCAACGGTAATCTCGAGCTTTCGGCACTCTATGATGCCATCATCAGGAGCTGAAGCATAACTATGAAGCTAGCAACCAATACGCAATAGATTTGAATTTTTAGACAACTTACTCGTCGCTGAGGTTGCAGCCAAAAGGTGTTTCATAACGAAAGCGTGGATGAGAGCACTTGTTGCAAATGTAAAACCAAAAGGACGGACACATTGGTTTTTTTGATAAAGACAGAAAACATAGTTACATGTTACCACTATATATCAATACATCCGAAGAAATAAAAAATTATCGAACATTTTCAAAATATTATAAAGTAGTACTGCATTTTGGGGGAAACACGGGAGTCCCTTCTAACTTCCTACATCTGTTTCACGTGGAGACAATGAGCGAAACGGAAGAGTGGTGCGTCGACAGATGACAGACGACTGTCGCGAAGGAATGTGGAAATGTAAAAATCATTGCCAAATTTCAGGTATAGTGCATACGAGGGACGATCGGAAAAAACTTCATATTTCCCAAATTGCTAAATTAGTTCTGTTTTGGAAATGTGAGTATAAGATGGTCATACACGCTTGAAAAGATATGTTGTATAAAGGTATATTAATATTTATTAGTGCTGTGAGACATTGAAAAAATTGTTTCAATTAACAGTACAAACAATTGGAATTTTGTTTTAATTTTTTGAGGATGTTAGCTTAACTGGAATTTGTAGTCGTTTCAACTTTTCGCAATTCAACAAGCAAGGATAAATGACACTAAGCTGCTTAAAATCAGCCTTTTTATTCATACAATGATTTGTCATGGAAATGTTGGACATTTCTATATATATATATATATATATATAGTAGCCATTGCCATTGCCAGTAACCAGTTGGTAAGAAATACAAATAAATTGTTTATTGGGATTTGGCAACACTTATAGTGAGTGAGCTTTCGACAGACTATGCTGTCACCTTCAGGAGGCAAAACACAAAATTTAAGATTTTAAATATAATGTCTTGATGATTTGAGTGAAGTTCCAGTGCCACTATATTTATTTAATTTGTTTAATAATATGTCATCATTTATACAGTTAAACGCTTTGAAACAGTCACAAAATGCGCTATTGAAATTTGTTTATTATTTAGATTTGAGTTTTTTACCCCTAACGCTGTAAAAAGTTGCATTAGAGCGAGCTGATCATTTTGGCACCACACTATTAATTTAAGATAATAATTCCGGGCAATAAAGTTGAAACAACTAACTAAAATATGACGAAACTAGCTGTTACCTTCGACTTCAAATGCGTTAAAGTATTACCGTTTTTTGAAATTAGAATTTCAAATCAAAGCTAAATCTTACATCGCTAAAGCTATCTTTCTGCCAAATTTCCGGTTACACAATCCATTCTTAGCTTAAGTTTAGTGTAAACAGAACCTCAGAATTACCAATTTTTGTTTATTAGAAAACCCTAAGAATTTTAGAACAAACTTGAAACTGCCCGTTATCTGAAATGTCCTGTCCATGAGCTACCTCCCTGCCAAATTTCATGTTTGTTAATCAAATAGTTGCTGAGATTTCGTGACTAATGTGTATGTTTTTACTTTTACATACACTTGACCTGATCCCACATATTCCAGGGCACTTTAAAAATCTGTTCTTAGCTGCATAAACTATCAGTCCGAAAAATTTGATGTGCCTCTGCCAAATAGTGTTCGAGATAAATTTCTATAAACTTGAAAAGTAGAAATATTCTGCCTCCTCCTAACCCTATCTTGAAGATATAATTTCTGATACTCTTTGTTAATAAATATTTTAAAGAAAAAGTTGAAGACAGAACAAACTACTACTTTTAGGCTGGATTAATTAGAAATTCTCTACAAAAACATGAAAAATGTGAATAGTCATCTTACCCCTTTAGAGGTGGAATTTACAAAATTGCTTTGTAAGTATCCATCTACACTGTACCAAAGAATATGAACCCATAACCTATACATATTTTTAAAAAATAATAGTTTCCCCATAGAAGTTGCTACCCCTTGTTTCAACACCTTCAAGTCTAATTTTCACAATAAAAGGTAGGATATGCCCGTCTCCCAGGTCTAATCTCTGCTAAATTTCATCGTAATTGGTTTATCCGTTTTTGCGTGAAAACGGAACATACATTCGTGCTTACAAACATCCATACGGTGAGGTTCAAATTTAGATAACGTCGTTATGCATCAGAAAAAATCCCTATCTTTGGTTACATGAATAATAGTTAGTTTCTGTAGTATAAGCACCTTTTTCGGCTAATTTTGAGAACAGGCAGAATCTACTTTTGAATGAGGCAAAGTACCTGTTTGTGTCTGTGGTTATCCTAACGTTGTAACTAATTGTTCTTATAATATAAGAAATATTTTCTTGTTAGGTAATCAATTGCTCTAATTGGTAAAATCGAAACATGGTATTTTTTACTATCTGTGTGTTCATTGAGATTCTAATGATCGTTAAAGGTAGGCAAAAAAATTACGAAATTTCCCAACTTCACTGTCCACGTACAATTGAAATCATATTTTTTAGATTCGAAATATACTAGGGACGCATTTGGAATTCAGCAAACTGGAGAAAGTGGAAATAGGCGGCATCAAAGGAAGACAACTTTCAGCAAAGTGCGAACATATATTCGAAGAGTTCAACAAACTTTACAACGTCTTCAATAACATACAGTATGACGTTTTGGACTTGAACGATCAGAATATCATCAAAGATTATGATGCTTTTAATGAGAAATGCATCGACTTGGACCGTAGATTGGCTGCTATTTTCTCTCAGGTAGTTTTTTCTTGATTTAAGATATTACCGAAGCAACTTGCGGAACTAAAATTTATGCCCAATTTTTTTCCAAACAATAACTGCATATTTATCAGCTTTCTTAACGCAAATTTGGGAAATTCAATAGAAGATTTTAAACTAGTAGAGCCCAGATCAGTTATCAGTGTCTAGGACGGTATTTGAAGGTCATTAAAGCGCCACTCAAAATACAAAGCCAAAATAGTTAAGTAATCGGTTCCGACCACATGCCACCATAGGACAGTTAAGAGGAACATGACACATCTATTAAAATATTTTTGGAAGCGATAGCAGGATTTGGATGAAATTTAGAACATATGTGTTCTGGTAGACATCCTAATATTTGACTTTTACAAAAAAAACCCGTAAGGTTTCTAGGAGGGTGAAAACTACCCGCATCACAACATAGACTATAGTAGAACTGTTTCACAGCCCTCAACGTTTCTCAATTTTCTATTTTTAAAAGTACTCTTATCTACTCTACTTTTTGTCCATCACTCATAGTTTTCGGAACAAAATGTTTTACGGAGCTGGCTTTGAACAAGAAGTTTCATGGTAGATGGATTGGCAGAGGTCAGGAGATGCTACTCAATGGCCATCTCGCACCTCGCATGTTATACCTTGCAACGTTTTTTATATGGGAGCATTAAAAACAAAGGGGTAGGACTCAAAATGCTCCAAATACATTAAACAATAATGATATCTTAGATAAAGTTAACTATAATCTTTTGCGCCGTATTGCGGGAACTAAAATGGTGGTCACATTGAACTTTTTTAATGAAAGATTCGCACTACTGCCTGTATTGAATAAAATACAACATTATAATTGATTGTTTTCACTAACTATACTTAAATAATTAATAAGACGTATTTTAACCTCTTGAGGCAGCTCATCCCTTTTTTGTGGAAAACTATCCGAGATGGTCTGTTTTTATGAGAGACAAAAAATGAAGTACATAGAAGGCTCTGCTAAATAAAAAAATCCAGCCGCCGTTGCCAAAAAATTCTGCTATAATTTATGTAGGGGTGAGCGTAGTTGCCACCCTTATCGAACCTCATTTTTTCATAAAAGTCAAGTATTACGCCTAGCAAAACATATATTCCAAATTCCATTCAAGTAATATCTTATTATTATTCAGAAAGTGCATGAAAAATTCTAGAAACTGGTGAAAACCGCATGTCGTTATCTTAATTATTTATAAAGTTATGACTAAAAATACACTTTATTAACAGGTACAGAGCCTCTGAGAGGGAGTCCAACACACACAAAATTTTGTTGATAAATTTTCCATATTTGGACTTGTTGAAATCTGCATATATCTCGTCATTCTTTTTCTCGTCAAAATTAGAAAAAAAAAATAACCGCGATCGAGAATGTCCATATCACGTTTTTTTGCAAGTTTGGGACTCTCACACTCACTTAAGTCGTCAAGTTATTGAAATACATACTTTATAAGAATGTAATTCACACCTTATCCTAGTCTGATGCGCCCGAGCATTTCTAACGATCGATTTTATTTTTTTACTATTCTGATCGGCTACCCTAGACGTACCGCACTGTATACCTATAAAGGGCAAGGTACTCATTTTTATGTGAATCTGTCTCTATCGATTAGATCAAGAAATCTCAGATAGAACGTTTTCGAGCTGTTCCATAAATACGTTTGTGTTTGTTGTGATGAGCTTCAAATTCTTTAAATACACCACAACGACTCGTATACCTATCAACAAAAAGTAAGAAAAATAGGAATTGCAGATAGCACCACCACCATCCATTAAGCCAGAACTTTGGGTAACATTAAAACTGAGAAAAATTCAGTACAGAAAATAACAGTCTGGTTCGATAATCAATTATATTATTATCTATTAATTATAAAAGACCTATTCTTACACACATAATTTACCGCTGTATGATCAGCTAAATATAAAGTGGATAAATCTTTCAAATGCATGTACCTATATCACGTAAACTGAATCATTAGTATATTGTAATTGTTTTAGACACCAGTCTTCGATGGGATGAACATATCCAATATATCAACAGGAAACTTAGATTTTTGTTATATGAGTCCAGATATTACAGACAAATTTTGAATATATGGAGCTCCACGAATAATAGCCATTTTAGTTCTTTACAAATAATACAAAAATTATTTTAATAGCAATGCATAAAAAACTTTTATTATATCCACCAAAATCGATGTTCACGGAATCAAAACTTCTGAATGTAAAAAAATATTTTTATATAATGTTATATTAGAATTCCATAAAAGTAAACAATCGACTTGTAATAAAAATTATGAATGCGATACTATAATCTATCACCATATATTATAAAAAACGAAATTATTACTAAATAGAGGTTTATACGACTTAGATTTATTTTATATTTCTCTGATGAGTGTTATGACTTGGCCCATACCCCTTTTTCGGGTTGACGTCGACTTCTGGGACACACAAACATTTAATTCATTCAGCTTTTTCAATTATTTCACCATTCATCCTAAATGTGATAGTATTTTCATTCAAGTATATCCCTATTAGGTTACATTTTGTTTTAGAAGCATTCAGTTTTAGTTTATTCACATTTAATCAATTTATGATTCTTGCCAAGTTAGAATCTAACATTTTCAAAGCAGTTTCATTTTCATGTGATGTGTATATTCGTTATTATAAAAATAAATTACTCCTCGCTCTACACCAACAAAAATATTTTTCGAGCTGGATAGCGTAGATCAAATTTTGTTCTCTGGGCGTCTGTTAATTAACTACACTGCCACGCAAAATTAACCGGACAAACAAAATTTCGTTCAAATTAAATTTTAAATAACCTTTTAACCTTTGCATCAATTTCATTAATTTTTTCGCAAAGTTGTAGGCCATGTCAATCATCCTTATCGACTGCCGATCTTGCGAAAAAATTTGAAATGTTTGTTGTTATACAGGGTGTTACTAAAAGGTGCATTTTGCCCCAAAATTTCTGAACACCCTGTGGAAACATTGGCTCACTGAATAATTTGTCTTCGTGTGAGAATTTAAAGCCTTAAATTTGCTTAACAGTTTTTTTATTAATGTCAATATCTCAACTATTGAAGAATATATGCGGTTTTGGAGAAAATAATGCGAATCATAGCCATAAACAATTTAATTTAATAAATTACAGTGACAACATTGGTAAGAAAACTATGCGAATCATAACCTTAAACAATTTAACTTCAAAAATTACAGTGACATCACTGGTAATTAGAAATTATCAAAAACGAGTATTCCCTCCCCGGGCTTGAATAACAGCTCTCATCCTCTGTGGCATATACTCAATTAAACCAGCTATTGTGTCTTAGGGTATTTGCTCAAACTCGTTTACCAGCGCCTGTTCGAAATTCGCCATAGTTGTGCCTTAGCCTTCTTTCTAATTTATCTCAGACGTGCTGAATGGGGATGAAATCCGGACTCCTTGGCGACCAGTCTAGTACTTGAATTCCAACATCGTTGAGGTATTGCCTAGTCATTTTGGCTATATGCGGCCGAGCATTAGGAGAAAATTTTCTCCTATAAAGGGCATATCACATGTTCTTCCAAATACTCTCTAATGTACCTGTCGGCAGTATGGTGTACTCCTCGTAGCGAAACAAAATTTGGCGATCATCAGGTGAATATCTCGTAGAACGAGACACAAGACGATAGGTTTCCTTCTCTCAACCTTCGGCGTACGGTATCCGGTGAAACTATGGTACCATGAACATCATCCAATCTTCGAGTTAAAGCTGTAGCAGAAACTGTCGCTTCTCAAACAGCTTGGAGTCTCAGAAACCGATCTTCAGCTGCGTTTGTTGCTTTCCGTCTGCCCTACTCAGGTCTTCTTGAGTAAGAACCAGTTTCTCTAAATCTTTCTATCGCATCGAATGCGTGGAACGGCAAGTGTTTCTGCGATATACCGAATAGGACGAACATCATCTTGTAAAGCGCTACCTGCTCCGATGTCATTTTTGTTGAGTAATGCTTGACAAGAATCTTTTTCACTTGCCATAAAAATGCTAATAAACACAGCCTACTTGGAACAGTTCCTTACCCGGCAAAGCCTTCTTGAAACAATTTCTTGTTTATGGCTATGTTTCGCATGGTTTTCTTCAAAGCAGCATATATTCTTCAATTTTTGAGATATTGGCATGAATAAAAAAAACTGTTGAGAAAAGTTGAGGCTTTAAATTCTCATATGAAGACACATTATTCAGTAATACAATGTTTCCACGGGGTGTTCAGAAATTTAGGGCAAAATGCACCTTTTAGTTACACCCTGTATAACAAAAAACATTTTCAATTTTTTCACAAGATCGATAGTTGATAATGATGAAACAATTAAAGAAATTGATGCAAAGGTTAAAAAGTTATTTAAAATTCAATTTGAACAAAATTTTGTTTGCCCGCTTAACTTTACGTGGCGGTGTAGTTTTGTAGAATTTATCTTGGTCAGTAGCTTCAAACGCTCATCTGAAGTCCAAACACTCTGTCACTGTATGTTTCCTATTGTCCGTACAGCTCCTCCAGTCCTCTAAAACCATTTGTCTTGCCATTTCAGTTGAGCGTTTCTTCCTAAATTCAGATTGAAATTTGGTTATAACTATATTTCCCTTGAATATTTTCTGAATTCATTTGAGGAAATTTTCGTCTTGTAGGCATTCGATGATTGCTACAATCTAGAGAGCGTCTTCAAACTGATCAACGTCATCGGAAATCTAATCAACAGACCACCAATCAACAAAGAGATCACCGTCAAGTTCCCGGTGATCATTGAGTTCTTCAACGATGAGCTGGACACCGTAAAAAAATTGTACGACGATGGCAAGAAGTATGGGCCACCTTTGCACAAAAATTATCCGCCAGTGTCTGGAACTCTGCTGTGGCTACAGACGATGAAAAATAGGATATGTAATCCTCTGGAGGACTTTAAAATTTTGGAGAATGATATTGTGAAAACGGAAGATGCCCAGCATGCATTTGAAAAGTCGGAACAGATGGTCAGCATTTTGGACAACGAATTTGTTCAGGTATTTGCGTAGCCTCATTCCGTAGAAAAGAACGGTAGCTGGGATATTGATGGGCAGACTCATCACGATACAATGTGAATGTGAATGTGAATTTAATGATACTATGTCTGAAATTACATTTTCTTGCATCGTAGCAGCCGCACAGGTAGAAACCTAAATGCCAGGCCGTCTTGTCTGCTATGAGGAGCTCAAAGAAGCTTTGCTAATCTCAGTTTTAACGTGATGAAGGCTAGTATAATGGGGAAATGCTTTCTCATGTAGATTGTTCCACAATCACGATACCCTAGTTAGGTTAGGTCTTAACTGAACCTTGTACAGGGCGAGGATGTTATGTGGAGAAAATTACTTTTTAGCCCTAAAGAAATAACCTAGCTTTTTCCCAGCAGCTTGCGCCATTGACGAGATGTGTTCGTTCCATATTAAGTCATCGATGACTAACACTAGCTGCAATTAATGGCTCTTTGTTAGAACTTGGACATCTATCGAAACCGGATGCTTGGTTGCTTTTGGTTACTCAAGGTAATGAGTTTTGGAAGCATTAAACTGTACAACATTGTTGCGTCCCCAACCAGTGACAAACTCCAGGTCTCTTGTCAGAGGGAAGCTGCTGCTAGTTATCTTTTCCTCAGACCGGCTTGTCACTCTAAATTCCTGCAATTAAAGTACTATCATCTGCAAAGCTGTGGATCGGATTGGTCGTACAGAAAATGAGGTTGTTGATATGCAAGAGGAAACATGGAGAACCCGGTAATTACGACGGATATCCTACATTTCTCGAAATCAGATTGGCATATTGAGACGAGTGTTATTATATGTCATATTAAGATTAACAAACGTTGTGCAAACTCTAAACCAATAGCCTTTCAGAGCAGCTTTGTTGATGGATGGCCCACTCTTGGTTAACGGTTTCTCTTCTTCATCCCACAATGCCAATACGGGTGTTGTCCACGAATCGGTATTGGGTCCAACATTGCTCCTCTTATACATATAACATCGACCTCCTTTCCTGTACGATCAATCCGATTCACGGCTTTGCTGATAACATGCTGGAATTCAGAGTGCAAAGCAGCTCTCTGCCAGTCAGCTGAAAAAAACAAGACTAGCCGGGACATCCTCATTGACGAGAGACCTGGAGGTTATCACTGCTTGGAGGCATCTGGTTCAGTTTAATGCTTGTAAAACACAGTACCCTGACTAACAAGAAGTGCCCTAGCGCTCATCCGATTTTGATGGTTAGCTGAGTTCTGCCTGGAAGTCGGAGTCCAGATCATCAAGGAATTAATCTGACACGAACACATCTCGAAAACAGAGGCTGCGAAAAAGCTAGGCTATATGTATTCGGTTAAGATAATGTCCTCACTCTGGCACAGATACAACAGCCTCGAGTAGTGCTCACATGTTTGGGATGGTGTCGCCCCGATTACACTATCCATGCTCGATGTTCGGATGGAAGGCTGTCCGGCTGATCAATAATAATAATAATAATAACTTTTATTCAAATTGCTTTGCGGATATCAAACGTCAACAGGAAAAGGTCAGATTTACATAAGTAAAGCATATACATGATTAAATTAGAATAAGAGAGGCGATAAGTCATAAAATGAAATTATGTCTGTTTAGAAGTATAAATAGTCAAACAGAAGAATAGAAAAAGTATGCAGCATAAATGTATAATAAGTAAAACAATAAAATAAATAAATATGTAATTACTAAGAATTATAAAACTCTTGCAGAGAGTAAAGTCACTTAAGGTAAAAGTACGTTGAAAGTTGTTTTTGAAGACTATTAAGTCGTTGATGGTTTTTAATACGGAGGGCAAATTATTGAAGATAGATCCTTAAATGTAGTCAGGGCTATTCCGGTATGTGCTGAAGCTATAGTTGATCTATGTAACGTTGTTATTATTTCTTAGATTGTATTCCTGGGACTCTTATAAGTAAGTGAATTTGGAAGGATATGATTTCATATGGATGCACTCCTCTAGAATGAGTAATGATGTTAACGTTAGTATGCTTTCATCTCTAAATGCTTTTCGACAAGACCCTAGTGAATGCAATGAGAATAAGAGTGTGACTATTCTCTTTTGAAAGTTAAAGGTTCGTATAGCCTTAAGAGACGATAACCAATATAGCACTAAGTATTTGAGGTAGTAATATACAATAGAGCAGTAGACGATCAACAAGTGTTTTTATTCATTATGTATTTTAAGTTCATTAGAGCCAAAAATGTTGAATTAATTTTTTTGGCTACATATTCTATGTGGTCTTTTCGGCTAAAATCTACTATTAAACCTAAAAATTTCATACTTTTCCCAGTAACTTCCAGGCTGTCTAGTACGATCGCTTCCATTTGCCTGCAGCATTGAGGTTATGGAACAATCTTCGTGAATAGGCTTTTCCTAATTCTACTAACCTTACACAGTTCAAAAATTGGATAAACAAAGTTTTAACTTTTAAGCTCCTCATTGCAGCCCTGATATTTAGTCTTCCGACTACTCGGCTGCTTCTCTGTAAGAAAAATACAAGATTGTTCTGTAAATTGCTTAAATTAGCACGCCATTGGCTTTTATATAAGATTGGTATCGGTAATTTAAAATCAGATTGTTTCTGCTTTAATACCGCCTCTTACAGTGTCCCGGTGAGGCCGCTGTTTTCTAAAATTCTGCTTATCGTCATTAAAAAATAGTTATTATTTGGACCAATTGAGGGGTTTCCGGGAGAAAACAACATTAGTCACTTTTTGTTGAGTTGGCAACGCTGTTGTGTTCTACATGTTTTAATGCTGCTTTCTGATGTTTAAGTTTATCGTCAAAAGCACATATCTCCGTCTGAAATACGTTTAAAGAATCGTCGGTTCCATAAGAACGACATTAGTCAACATAGGTTTATCAAAGTATATTGAAAAACCTGAACATACGTATACAATGTTTTAGAAAAGGTTGTTAAATACCCATAAACAAGATACTGAAGACAATAATGCAGATATAGACAATGACGACAACAGCAGTGGAAATAGTGACATAGAATAGAAATATTGTTATACAGTTAGAATACTTTTGAAGAATATGTTTTTTTCCTGAAATACTTTTAGAATACTTTTGAAGAATATGTTGTTTTTTTCTGAAATACTTAAGTTTCGTTTCAATAAATATATATAAAAAATATTCTTGGTTAACAAGCCTCTTTCTAAAAAATTCCTAAAAAACAACATTTGTCACCACGTTTTTGTATTTTTTTATTCACAAATCCGTTTTTTTTCTTGAAATACACCTTAAAATATATAAGATGCCTTCTTACATGCCCATAACACTAAAAAAATGCGTTTCACAGTAGTATAAGCAACAAAATCAGTTTTTGTTAATTTGCCACATTTTTTGTTTTCTGACAAATGTTGTTTTTCCCAGAAACCCCTCAATTGCTTATTCATCGAAAAAAAAATTCCCTTTCTTATAAGTTAGCTACAGACACATTGCCTTATTTAAAAGTAAATTGAGATATAACCCCTTTTGGTGTACCTGTTCCAAACATGCATTTAATAAAGTGCTCATTCTATCATCGAAGGTGTTTTTCTTCACTAAAATGATGTAGTACTAGTAGGAGGTGAAGCCTGGTAGCTAGGCCACCTTTGACCTGACCCTGTAGTATCAACACTGCCATGAGGCATCTACTGGTGTAACTGATATTATAACCCAGCTTCAGTGATGAGATGTATGAAGGACAATGGTATTATTTGATTTATCTGCAGTACAGGTGGTAATTCGTTTGTTTTTTCTTTTTGTTATCACATTCCTATACAGTGTGTTGTTACGATAGTCTGATAGTCCAGTAATTTGCTCATGCCATCTTAAAATTTAGAATAATGACTTGGAACAATCTCAGCATATTACGGCACGGGTATTATGTAAACTAGGTAGCTTTTAGGGCGCAAACAGTCATTCCACGTTTGCTCACTAGGATCGTTGTGAACGTCCATCTATGGAGGAATCACTCAACTAAACTACACGCATTATTGGTTGCATATGTTTTATGAGATCGGGTGGTCCTCGTCTGGAGAAAGTTTCCAGCTTTGAATCTCAATTGAGTGTATTTGAGACAAGAATGTGATTATCATAAACGCATACAACTTACGGCTTAGACCTCCAGTACTACCATCTCAGAAGCAGATTTTACATCACATCAGAGTCAAAAATTGATAACAAGCCTCCTGACGTTTAGGCAACACATATAACTAAGTGCTAAGTTAAAATATTGAGGAAAAACCTACATAACGTCAAAAAAACAGTAAAATCTCAAAGAAAATCGATGTAACATCACTTTTCAAGATACATGATACCCGTACCGAACTTTAAGGCTGTTGTAGTAACACACGATGGACATATGATAATCAAAAGATAAAATGGAGTTAAGTAGATTAACTCTTTACTTCCTACGCCTTTGTAAGAGGTTTCAAAAGAAATGGATGCGTCAAATCGTTTCAAAAGGCGAAATTGAATCGTGATTAGATAGGTCAACTTAGCTACGGTAAACCTTCAACCTCTGAGCATCAAACCATTTAAAGCAAATCTATCATATTACTGTCTCAATGGCAACTGTAGGGAAAATATGTGTGACTTATTGTGTCTAACAGGTGCATCGTATCACTGAGATCAGCAGATTCTTAATAACAGGTCTTTCACTGACACCAAATATGCAAAAATTTACAAATATTTACTGCATGCAGCTTCCAACCTACAATTTTTATCCCCTCCAAAGAATGTCTGAAAATGTGCAGAAATCTCTAAAAAGTTGTGACACTATGTTCCGCCGATCTTATTTCCGCCCCCTCTGAATCAATTTTAAAAATCTACGATTAACTGAACGATTGAACTATTAAACTCGCGACAATATTTGAACTTCGGTTCTCAAGTCTTCTGTTGCTTAAATATATCTGCATCACACAAGTCTGTGTTTCTCACTTATGTCGCTCTACATTCCGTGTCTGTTGTATATTAATTTCTGAAAATGATCAAGAGCCTCTGGAACGTCAATAAATTGAAGTGAAAGATTTTAATTTTTTCGTGTTTTTACCTCTAGCTCTACCACCACTAGACCGATTGTCGGAGACTACAAAGCTTTTTCAGCCTTGACATAGTAGTAACCTTGTGTGAAAGTTTCATCAAAATTTGAGCGGTACTTCTCAAGTTATAGTCGTTTATAGAATTAGCGGTCAGACCGGCAGACAGACCGATGGAAATGAGTGGCATGATTTTTCGTGATGTACATGTCAAATAATATCAAAAAACATAATAACTCGATTAAAATTTTTCGCGATATCAATAGTTCCTCGCCAGTTTTGCATAGAAAGTAAAAGCAAATGAACTGTCACTTGGAAGACAGATAAATCTAATACTGTCATTGTACTGAAGAAAATCACCTTTGTGATTGAAGCGTTTACTGTAATAAAGGAGATCTGTCAAATGTATTGGTTACATTGGCCAGACAAGCATGGGGTATTATCGACATAAGTAAACCACAGGATAAGTTTCAGATATTACATTCACAATAAAGCATCTATCTATCATGCATAATAAGAATTGTAAAGAATATTAAATATCAACTTCTCGCAGGTTTTTAGAACATGGTGCGACTACGTGCCAGGCCAAATCGAAATGAGCATGTCCAAGCTCGAACTGATCCAAACCGGCAACCAACTGATCGCATTGAACCTAGACAAAGAACTAGTGGCCATTCTCCGTGAAGTACGTTACATGAAACTTCTGGAGATCGAAGACGTACCGCCAGAGGCTGTACAATTGTTCGAGGAGAGCGAAAGCCTGGTTCACACTGTGAACGAGTTCAAGCGTATCGTCGAGTGGTACAACTACTTAAGACTGGAGACGAACCAATATGAAAAGAACTTGATTCAGCACGATATGGGGGATATAGATCAGATGCTTAAGGTGGTTACGGAGGAACGGACTTGGTATCAAAATGGTTGGTGTTTGTCTTTCCAGCATTTATTTGGCCCGGTTGCACCGCCTTGTTAATGTTGAACTTAAGCCAAACCGAACCTCAATTTTCATATTTTTGTTGCAACAGTTACAATTGAAGCTTCAGTGGCGCTTCAACAGACATTATTTGAGCTACAATGAAATATGTCTGTGATTAAAATGGTTTTTAACCTAAAATGTCAGTTTGACGGTCGGGTGGCCTAAAATTAGGGATTAAATAGTTTCCTTAAAGATCCGCGAATATGGATATCTGTATCTCAGAGCCTGGATAGATTAGGTCCAAGTAATAAGTAAGTATAACGAAGAGGTTCGCAATGTCAAAGAACAGCACAATGTGAAATTTAGTCATATGGTAATGACAGTAGGTCTTTCCGAACAATGGTCAAGCAGATTGAAAGGAACTTCTCATAGTGTAGCCTTCCACGGCTTACCTGGAATGGAACGATTGTAACCGACGTCAAAGACTAAGGCGGATATGCTTGCCAAGATCTTTGCTGCCAACTCCACCTTAGAGGTCCTCCAGCGCCCGAGTGTCGTCGATTCAAAGATCTCTCTACCCTATGCAGGAGGTAACCTTCGGACATAGGATAAGTGTTGACATTTGCAAAACTTCTGGTCCGGACTGTATTTCTGCCGTTGTGCTAAAGAGATGTGGAGCGGAGCTTGCTAAAGTCTTTCGCGACTCTCAGATCTAACGAATCCGTCTCTTTCCGAGGAAACTGGAGACTTGCTCTTACCAACCCCATTTAAAAAAAGGATCTAAGTTCGACCCTTATAGCTACAGGACTATAGCTTTGCTTTCTGTTAAAGTAAGTTGATGGAGAGGTGCATAAATCGGGAGCTTCTGGTGTACATCGAACGTCACGGCTGATTAGCGATATGCAGGATGGTTTCCGGCACCAGCGCTCCGCTGAGGAATTCCTAGCTAAACCTCACGCTTGGCGGAAACTCATCCAGGCTTCTGGTGAGGCTCATGTCATTCTTGATATCACGAAAGGATTCGTTTAGCTGTGGCATGCCGCCCCCTTATGCAAACTTCAAACCTATGGCCTCACAGAGAAGCTGTGCAGATAGTAGACTAACTGGGTGTTCACGATCAATTCGATCCACAGCTTTGTTGATGACAGCATTCTACTTGAAGGGAGATTATCACTACTTGGAGACGCAATTATGTGGTTACGGTTTGATGCTTCCAAAACAAAAACTGAACCTTGACTAACAGGAAGCGTCATAGCGCTGATTCGGTTTAGATGGATGGCCGAGTTCTACAAAAAAGCCGTTCATATCGGTTGGTCGAGTCCAAATCATCAAAGATTTTTTTGGAAGATTTTCTCGGTTCTATTAATCTTGGGCTGTTCAAAAATCAGTTTAACAATGTTTCTTTAACATATTCAACCTATTTTATATAAAATAAGTAGTTTTGAGATAACTGCGTTTGGAATTTTTCTTGTATTGCTGGCATGCGACATAACATGATTTGTAAAGTCGTAACTTCCTTATAATTACAGATAGGTAGACGCTGCAAGTAGCAGATGAAGATTTACAATATTATTATATCATACTTAAGATATATAAAACACAATTTAGGTAAAAGTGGTCTTAACTTTGTCTGGCTCTGGCATACAGATATAGATCACATATAGATATCGCGAAAGTTGATGAAGTTGACGAAATCAGTATGGGATTCCTCCCAAATCCGTAATAGAACGGAATATTTTAATTGCTTTGATAACAGGACATAATCCTTTTTACCTTTAAACTAACACGTCACTTATAAGTTTTCCATTTAACATTTTTATGATTTGATCACTGCCAATTTATTTATAAATTATTAACAGCAGACATGTGAGCTTTTTCTAAGGTCTTTTTTAAGATATAAAAACCTCCCTTGATATTTTGTAGCTACTAAGCAAAAAAAAAACAACCATGTTTGTCCATTAAAGCATGATGCATGTGATGCTGTGTCTTTTAGCCTAAGGACTACTATACACTTTAGGTACCCGCCAAAACTACTAACACGTTTCGCTAGTTTTAAAACTAGTTTCGATTTCTCCCAAAGATGCTTAAACACAAGGGTAATTTTTTAAGTTTAGGTGTGTGTGTGTGTAAGTGTGTGTGTGTGCGTGTTTTTAGTTTGCAATGGAGTCAATAAAATTTCATTGATGAATATAAATCGTATCACAAATTATGTACGTTTTTTCATTTTTCAAAGTAGTCACCATAAACGTTGAAATACTTGTCTTCAGCTAATGGATCCCGTTGTCCAACAACGCTGCTACCTGATCGTTAAACTAGTTACTAACTGTTTCTTTCAACATGTCATCATTTTCACCAACAAATTCCTCAAGTTTTGGAAAAAATGACAGTTTTGATAGTACTAATTCAGGGCTGTATGGTGGAACTGTAAAAGTTGATCTTCCTATAATATAACCATATTGAGCTTCACGTATCAGACTATTTCGGGATAAGAATTTTAATTTTCTGTAACTCATTAACATCTCAAGTATTTTTATAAAAACTGATAACAAGCTTATGGGTCTGAATCGGTTCTCACTTGAATAATGGCCCTCGCAGTTAGCGAAACGCGTTCCGGATATTACACTAGTTACCTTCGGTGAGAACGGAAAACTAACACTGAAAACGAAAACTGTTTGCAGTTAAGCCGACTTCATGACGGTTCTCGTGTCAGCTGTCTTTTACATCCCACACCTACTGGGGAAGTATTGTGATTGCGAAAAAAGTCGAAAATGAGATATAACGTTTTGTGGATGTTATATGACATGTACGTGATAAAAAATCGTGTCCCTCATTTCCGTTGTTCTGTCTGTCTGTGGGACTGTCCGGTAATCTTATAACCGCCTATAACTTGAGAATTGCCGCTCGGATTCCGATTAAATTCTTATGCAATGTTACTACTATGCCAAGAACCTAACAGCCTTCTGGTTTTTGAAAATCGGTCCATTGCGGCGGAGAGAAAGGGCAAAAATGAACAAAATAACAATCGCTCAATCTTCGTTTTTTTGACGTTTCAGAGAATCATGATCATCCTCGAAAAAAGTTAGTAGTAAAAAAACTTCGACGTGGGGGTTGTAAGCGGGTGAGGAGGGCTTATCTCAATTCTTTGATGCTGGTACATTTATACGCTCCTAACATTTTTAATTCTACAAACCCACCATATATTTTATACCTATTACGTACATTTTACACATCATATATTTCTCTGTATAATAGCCCTGAAAACGGCTGCTGCTGGCGTCGTGGACCGACCCTGATAATCGATCTATTATGAAATCACACGTAATTCTGCCGAGCATAGTGTTTTCTATGCTCTCGTCGCGCTACCACGATGCGACGTCTGCCCGAGTTAGGTATCGGCAAGAGGCGATGTTTCCAGACAAACTACCGGTAGGGCAGCGAAATAATGTCTATGGATCTATTTGAGTTTTTTCTCAGAGGATCTAGTTTCTACTGAACATATTCCTTAATGCATTGCGTGGGTAGTGCTGAGTCAACCTACTTGACGCCATTTTTTTTTTGTTGCGTATAGATCCGACCATAGTGCACAATATCTACGAGCATGTGCAACAGTTGTACCATCGTGTGAAGCAAGCTCAAACTAACATCAGCAAATCTTTGGCCAACATCCAAACGTGGGTGGACCAACCGCTATATGAACGCAAGGACCAGAAGAAGGAGAATCTGTTGAGCATCGACGACAAAGGAGAACGTTGGCAAAGAAGAGCCGATCTAATTATGGCTTGTAACGAGGACCTGAAGGCTAAGATCAAAGAGAACTATGAGCTGTTCTTCCAGGAACCTGTGGAGGAAGAGGTGAGGAATGAGTTTACTAGTGTTACCAGGTATACCAGGTACAGTCGGTAGATTTGTGCAAAATTTTTCCATAGATTTGGGGCAAGTGTGGCCACAGGCTTCACACCTAGTAGCTGGCGTCTGGCTAAAGTGGTATTTACTCCTAAGCCAGGGAAAGCTAGTTATACTGTCCCGAAGTATTTTCGTCCGATTATCCTTTCACCTTTTGTGCTCAAGACATTGGAAAGGATAATTGGTAGATTCTTGAGTGATGGTCCGCTGGAGAGATGTGTCATTCATTCTAATCAGTTCGTATACCAGGCTGGGAAATCGACTGATCCGGCCTCACATAATAACTCGTGGTCATTTTGGATATTGAAGGTGCATTTAATTGCACCACAATCGACTCTATCAGACTTGCCTTGGTTGGATCAATCCTAGTTGACTGGGTTGTATCTACTCTGGATGGACGTGTAGCAACAGCTATGCTGAACGACGGCGACGTCTGCTGCAGTGTTAGCGTAACTCGGGACTGTCCGCAAGTTTTAGTTCTTTCACCGGGTGTTTATGTATATACATACGTATGTGTTAACGCTGGAAGGACCGTGCTGATTATATTTATTATTAAGAGGAAGCTTGAGGGGCTTGTCTGGCCGAAAATAGAACAGGTCTATCCCAATCAGTAAAATATCTAGGAATTATCTTGGACTGTAGACTGAATTGGAATGTTGAGTACAAGGTGAGCTTGCAGACGTGATGTCGGAGTGAGGTGTGAGCTTAAACCCAAAGTGGTGCACTGACTCTATACGACGATAGTACATCCATCTTTGTTGTATGGCTCCTTGGTTTGGTGGCATTGCATTGAAACTGATACCACTGAGAACACTCAATGAAATTTATCGTTTGTCTTGGACCAGTATTACACGGTTGAACCTAGTGATCCATGGAGAGGCAGAGTAGTTGCATGAATCCCGTCAAGGGTCACACTGCACAGAGATTCCCCTTTCATACTCTGGCGGCCCTAAATACACAACTTAGATTTAAACCTTTTCATTGTATTTTAAACCTTAAAATACAGTTGTATAAACATGAAAATACAATTTATAAAGTTCTTTAAAAAAATAATTAGGTAGGTACTGTAAATGTTTCTCAGTGTTTTTGTTTTAGATCAACCTTATATTAAAGAAATAAAATAAAACAGTTCATAATAAGGGCAACCAAATATATTGAAAAAAAATATAAACTCTAATACTTATAATAAATTATAATGGAAACAATTAACTCAACAAATCCAACACAGATTTCGACAATATGTCTTTTTTTAACAGGTAACTTCCGTAATCGAGGGATCCGAATGAAGAAGAGCCTATTAAATAAATCGGTATTGGTCAAAACGCGGCTCATTTTTCGTCAATGATCTCGTCGAAATGATCTAATGTGCTTGTTAGTCGCTTCACCCGCTTATTCAGATACTCCCCAATTGAGAACAAAGCGTGACCTATAACATCACCACCATGAGTTGCTCAATGCATATTTTCAACTACATTTAGCCAATACGAATGCTTATCTACCAATTTAGATTTAGAGCGATTTGACTTTACCCAAAATTGTGAAATTCGTTTACATAAATTTCTAATTTGTTTGTTTGTTTGATTAAGATTTATTTAGCATGATTGCTACAATTACACTAAAAAACTAAACAATTACACAACATACACATATTTAGAAAAAAAACAAAATTTGCATTTATAAGAATTTTCATTGTTCATGAAATATTCCTTTAATTTTCTTTTAAATATCTTTAATTTACAAGTAGACTTTATATCATTATTTAGCTTATTAAACTCAAGTAATCCTTTCTGAAATATTGATTTGCTAGTTGTATTACTATTGCAATTTTCTAAATAAAAATCTATTTTTCCTCATGTATAATAATTGTGGTAATGGTTATTTAATTCTATTTAGTGGTTCAAATTTTCTGGCAAAATATGATTTTTTATTTTAAATATAAAAATAAGAACCAAATATGATATGAAATTTTTTATATTCAACCACTGCAATTCTTGCTAGACTTGTAATTTTGAGAAAAATGCTTCAGTGGCAGTGAAGAAAATAGTTGAACGATTTAGTAAATGCGGTAGAATAATTGTATTATAAACTATTTTCTTGGCATAGGTACCAAGACTATGAGAAGCACTATAAAAGTAATTTGTTTTTTTGGCAATTTTAATCTCCCTGAATCAATATTTTCGATGTTATCTGAAAGATACTACGTTTCATTCAACGTGTCGAGGATATATTGCAATTTTTCTTCGACACTACCTTTCTTAGAGTGCCAAATATCAAGAATAGTCCTCCTCGAAACAGAATACTCAAAAAGTTTACCTAAAACAACAACAAAATTGGATTTGGGCCTTTTTTTCTGTGCTATGAACATATATGGTTGGGCACTTCACAAACCTAAGAAGGGGCAGCAAGAAAGATGCAGATGAAACCTATATACCCCTAATCTAGACATTCCCTACTTTAAGATAATATTTATCTCAGCTGCAGCAAGGCGCAGCACAAAGTTTATAACTCGAAATGAGTCAATTTTGTAAGAAAAAATCTACCTAAAAAAAATTTATATAAAACTCCAAAACGAATGTTTTTACATAAAACAGGTAAGTAATAACAGTACATACCATATTCTTGCATCTCCATATTATCACTATGTGAAAACACTAGGCTTGAAATTATAATCCACAAAAAAAGTAAGTTGCAATGACTTACATGTCCCGGTAATTAGACTCGAAAGTCTGTCACTTGATATGGACGAAAGTAAAGGACAGTTTGAACTAATTGCATTGTTATTTATATTTTTTAAAATCCTCGCGCCTACTCGATAACTTAGCGACTCATTTAGACCCTTATAAACTCATGCGTTTTTGGGATTTTTGCCTAAGGAGGAATCACTGTGCACTGCTATCTCGAATTCCTTCTGAGCTGAGTGATCTGATCACACATAAATATCGCTTTTAACGCAAGTTTAATGAGGGGTATCCGACGAGGGCGAAGTGGCATTGCGGAAGCCGGATGGTGTCCGATAGGACGGCTAGGTTACTGAAGAGGGCTATGGCGTCGGAGTCATTGGACTTCGAGCTCGCTCTCAGTGCTCCTTGGCGGATACACCACTATTTTCCAGTTGGAGAATTAATGCGATTCTGACTTGTGTTTCCCGGATGTTGGTGGAGGAAAGGCCAGGAGAAAAATAAAAATCTGTGACAACCAGGCACGCTTTGCGGAAGCAGGATTAGCGGGCAAGCTTGCTAGACAATACCTTCGTAAATCGAAAAGCATCTCTAGGCATCTCCGTCAGGCCTGAGAGCTCATAGTCGAGACAAGTGTTAAGAGAATTGGCGCTTTTGCTTATCTTTGGATAGATCCAACCTCAGGTTATCTGATCATAACACGCCACGGCGCCACCTATATGAGCTGGAGGTGGCTGACGACCCCATGTGTGAGTGCTGCTGAAGTTTTGCTAATCAAAACTTTGAACAGCATCAAGTTGAGGAGGCAGGTGCCCAGGAGCGGTCGTATCGGATACTTCTGGATGCACGAAGTTCGACGGTTAGGATGGGAGGCCGAAGTAAGGCGAGTCTGTCTGGTAGGCATATCGCGTGGCGGCATGGAATAAAGCTTTAGATTAAAGCCCATTGGTGTGCTAGCAGAAGAGAGCTAGATAGTTGGCAGCCCGTCGGTGCGAAAGGGTACCGTGACTGTCCGTCAGAGAAGAGTCACCGATCAATCGGACAGCCCTCCTTTGAACATCCATCGAGCATGGATCATGTAGTCGGGGCTGCAGCACCCCAAACATGTGAGCAATACTCGAGGCTAGGTCTTATCTGGGCCTTATATAGGATGAAGAGGTCATGTGGAGAAAAGTACTTCTTATCACCTTACTTACAACAGAAAGCAGAGCTATAGGCCTGTTGTAAGGGCTGGCCTTAGATCCTTTTTTTTTTCGGATAGGTCGGACATGACCAAATTTCCAGTCTTCTGGTAAGATGCTGGATTAGTAAGATATCTGGAAGAGATACGAAAGAGATGAAGCAACCTCCGCTGCACACCTCTTCAATACAATGGCAGAAATCAAGTCCGGACCAGATGATTTGTTGAGTCGAGCGACAAGATCATCCGTCTTACGGTGTTATGTCTGAATAGTACTTCCCGCATTCTGTAGGCAACCCTTTGAATCGGCGGCATTCAGGCGTTGCAAGAAACGTCCATGGTGAAGTTGGCAGCAAAGGTCTTGGCAAACACTTCTGCCTTAGCCTTTGTGTCCATTATAATAGATGACACTTTGTGCTGTCTTATTTTGATAGATCCTAGAAGAAAGTTACCTGCTCGCCACTCGTTCGTTGGTCTACCTGAAACCAAGCATGCTAAAAAGTTGCCAAATAGCATGAAACATCTCTCCATGATTCCGTCTGAAGTCAGACAAACGAAAGCTACATTACTGGTAACGACTAACGCGTCGTTGAAAGACATTGAAATTGATGTTTCGCCAAAATAAAAATTACATACACGGGCGTCCTTTCCTGCTATTCAATCATGCCATTCTTAATGTAGAGTATTCTAGAAAATTAATTTTGTTAACAGTCACCCCTGCCTCCTGAAGTTGAAGAAGAATCTCCTCCACCCCCAGAACCAGAAGCGGACAAAAAAGGTAAAAAAGGGAAAGATAAAAAAGGAAAGGAGAAAAAAGAGAAACTACCGAAGAAGATAGAATCCCAGATAGTTCGGGAAGAGAGGGAAGTCAGATTGCAAGCAGAGTTGGCGGAAAAGAAGCAGGCCAAGCTTTGCATGTGGAGAGCTTATTTGAGGGATGTTGAGGGTAAGGTTTCCTGACAAGGTTTCATGACATTTATTTCCGACGTGCTTCCAAGGTGTTCTTACCAACAGGCTATCCCGATATTCTGTCCGGACGAGCATTCACAGCGGGCTTCTACGTCGATCTTCCATGACGTACTTCCCGACAGGGTTTCACGACATTTTCTTCAATGTGCTTCCACCGCGTTCCTGTCAACGGGCTATCACTGTATTTTATCCGGACAAACTTTAACAGAGGGCTTCCATATCGTTCTTTTACGACGTACGTTCCCGACACGCTTTCACCACATTTTTTTTCGACGAGCTTCCACGTCATTCCTCTTCTACGTTTTCTGCTCTTTTAAAAAACGATACCAGTTATAAAGGAACTGATTATCCAGGGACATGACAGAACAATAATCTTCAAGTTTCTCTGGCCGCTGGATAAAATCCCATAAAATGTCAAAGGCCTCTGAAAATGCGAAAACTCATCCAGCACTGTTATGGTACTACGACATCGAAATTGAACCATGATCTTTGCCTTGCCAGAAAATAATATCACAAATCAGTTTGGCCTTGAGATGGCGAATTAAAATATCTGCTCATTTGATATCCAATAACGAGCCTTAAAAAAACTTGAAAGCAAAATATTCATTAGTTGAGTTGGAGAATATCAATTAGATTTTCCACTTAAGAACTAGAAACTGTTTATTTTCATATAGCTGATTCCTTTAGCTTCGTTTTGTAATTGTTATCCTCGTTGCGGAATATTGAGACTTCCTCTCGTTTCACCCTATGCCCTGTTTCCCATAGATGATAATTTAGTGCTTATTCTTAGCTCTCTCTTCTACTGTCCGCAGAAAATGCGTAGGATAAGTCTCAGTTGTTACATTAACCAAAAAACAATAATATTTTCAGATAAAGTGAGGGTCCTGCTAGAGAAAGCAATAACGATAAGCTTACGCCTAATATTGGATGAGACAGGCGATTGTCCTCCAGTAACTCCCTTGTTTGAACTGCTCATGGAGTTACACGATCCCGATATTGTCTACGTTCCTTCAGCAGATATGCAAGACCCCAACAATTTCTTGACCTTCGTAGAGTCCTTAATAGAAGACATGTTTTCTATGACCAAGTACGTATTTTTTTACCTACCCCTTCAGATCCAAGTCCTATGCTTTACAAGCAGCGATTAATGTTAAGAAAAATTTGTGTGTTACGTTAACAGGTTTTACTCCAAGACACCATCACGAAACGACATTGTCAAATCAGAGGTGATTGTTTTAATGCTACTGTTAGTTGTTTGAAATTTGGTAACAAAATATGGATGATTGAGATGTAATCGTCATTAGGAAATTGACGGAAGTGCTTCTCTCTTAACTATTTAAACCGTGGATCACAAAAGGATTGACAATATAATCTCGAAATAAGAGATCTAAGTAGCAAAATGCATCAGGCACTAGCTGGCAGGAATAGGGGTGTTACCTCAGTGAACCTAGCCAATCCATCTCTCAATCCATCCGCGATCGTGTCGTCATTTTGCGAACTGTGCGAGAAGTGGAAATTCAAGCCACTACATGGACGCTATAAAACGTGATTTGAAGACCAGGCAGTAGTCAGCAAAGCATCCCAAGGATAGCTGCCTTCCAGTAACCTGTTCGTGGAGAGTGGTTTGTGATGGCTATACAAGGCCAGGTGCTGCCTACAAAAGTCTTCAGAAGGCGGATAATGGGAGAAAATATAGATAACGTCAAATGTAGAATCTGTGGAGATAAAGACGAGAACCTAGACCGCATCATCGCAAGTTGTTCCGCACACGCCCCAAAACACTATCTAGAAAGACACAACTACGTGGCAAAAATAATCTACTTGGAACTGGTCAAGCGCTACCTCAATGAAGAACTTACTGAGTCATACCTTCGCTACACACCTCTCCCAGTTAAAGAAACTAGGTCACACAAAATGTATTGGAACCGAAAAATAATTGCAGATCGCACAATACCAAATAACATCCCTAATATAGTACCAACATTAAAAGAACAAAAGACACATTACAGACATTGCGGTCCCTCTCCTTTAGAGTACGTATTCATAAAGGATCAACAAGTATCTACCGCTGTCAGAAGAAGCGGATGTGGGTGACGGATACAGTTATGAATTGTACCGATGGTTCTTGGCGCCACAGGTGAGGTCCTTAAGAAGTTACACACGTCTTGAAAAGAGACCTTGGCCATCATGTTTACAAAAAAATTTAGAAAGCCGCTTTACTGGGGACATGCAGAACAGTCCGTAGGGTATCGGCAAGCGAAAACTCGACACAGTAACCTGCAAAATTGGTAGTTGCCTTCAAACTGCTCAGATCCTTTGGTTTAATCTTGGGTTAAGCATACAAATCCCTCCCAGAGATGATTGAATGAAGAAGTAATAATAATAATAATAATAATAATAATAATAATCAACAGACCAGATAGAATGGGGAGGATTGCCCGAAATTACGATCTTTCTCTGCCAGCAACCAAGTCCCTTATTCAAGCGGCAACAAAATTCCGTCACCAGCTATCTATACGCTAATCCCTAGAGCCAGGCTTACAGAAAAGAAAAGTAACACACAATCTCAGCAAAGAAGACACCGTGAGATGGCTCACAAGGGCAAACGTAAAGGGTTGAACAGAAAGTCTCATAACAGCGGCACAAGACCAAGCTATAAATACGAACTGCCATTCAAACCGGATACTGGCTATTGAATATTGATATAAGCATGATATAATTTATGAAAGCCCTAATATATGAATATCTTTTCCGCATTAGTAATCTATGCTACAAAATTAATTTGTTACGTTTATATTATGTAGATTTCTAGTTCTAATCAATGAATTTATTTTAGCAACTGTGTTATACGTTATATGTGTTAGAATTCCACACACAATGATAGTTTCCTTTTGTGGCATAAATTTTCTCGTATCATGTGGACTACAGTTAAAAAAACTTGAACATAGATTGGCATATTCCGTATATTTTTTTCTAGACACGTAGATCGCATTGACCCTGAGGCGCAAGGACCCTTCTACGAACAAGCAAAGGATAGCAGAGACCTGCTGGTCATGAGCGATGAAATCAGCGTTAGAGTAGCAACCGCTATGGAGAAGGCGTTAGAGTTTATGAAGGAGTTTGAGGAGTAAGTTGTTATTTTCTTGACGATCCTCCACGATGTTGCTTGACTATGCCTTTTTGCCGTGCACAAATTCCTTCTGAAATGACTAAGTTTCCCATGAACTATCAGATATTTTGCAAAAAGAAAAGGGAAAACTTTTCTTCCAAAACAAAGGCCTGACAGTATTATTTTCCTTTCACTCTTATGACAGGAAAGAATGGCATGAATGAATGGCAGGAGGGAACGCTCGCTTATGGGATACAGTTGCTGCACTACATTCTTTCACGATGTTCTCCCACGACATTTCAACCTGTCGAGCATGTACGGTGGGCTTTCCCGACAAGCTTATACGACGCATTTGCCAAGGAGCTGCCACGTCCGTCTGTCCAGATTATTTTTATGACTTTTGCAGCCCATGCAGGAGTTTTAAACCCTGACGCGCACAAATTCTTACTGGATTTTCCTCCGAACTGTCAAATTTGGTGTACGGAAAGACAAAAGGGATGACTTCACTTCCGTAACAAAGATAGTGAGGAAGGACTGACTGTATTGTTCTTCATTCATTCTTGTGACATGTTGTGAATAAATGGCAGGTTAGAACGCTTTTTTGTGGGCTGCAGTTTCATTATTTCATTATGTTCTTTTATGCCACTCTGCCATGTCGAGCTTGCACAACAGGTTTTCCCGACGAGTTTTCACGTCACTCTCTGCCAATGATTTGTCATGACGTTAGAGAAGAGCTTTTTCCTGTCACGCACAAGTTCTTATTGAAGTAGGTAACACATGTTCCCACAAACTGTCATATATTCTGTACGGTAAGACAGAAGGGATTACTCTCCTTCCATAATCCCAATAACCGAAATTATCCACGTCGGAATGGAGGAATACATCCCTCACACAGTGAAAGTTATTAAACCAGTGCCCAACGGCTGGTTCAACAAATCGTGTGACACTGCTCGCCAGCAGAAGATCAAGGCCCACAGAACCTACTTACAAAACCCCACTGTAGAGAACAGACAAGCCGACGTCGCCTCCAGAAACAAATATAACGAAGCGGTACGCAATGCCAAAAACCAGCATGATATAAAAGTTAGGCACAGGGTAATGTCGCAGCGCAATGGCAGTCGGTCTTTCTGGACGCTGGCCAAGCAGATTGAAAAGAACTTCTTCCTTCCACCACTTACGTGTCAGGATGGAACTATTGTATTCGACTCAAAGGCCAAGGCGGAAGTGCTAGCCAAGATCTTTGCTGCCAACTCCACCATGGACGTCCCCACCAATGCCCAAGTGCCGTCAATTCAAAGGGTTCCCCACACTATGCGGGAGGTAACATTCAGGCATAAGACCGTAAGACGAGTGCTCTTGTCGCTCGACATCAACAAAGCTTCTGGTCCGGACTTGATTCCTGCCATTGTACTGAAGAGATGTGCAGCGGAGCTTGCTCCAGTTCTTTCGCGTCTCTTCCAGATATCTTATGAATCCGGCACCTTCCCTGAAAACTGGAAATTTGCTCATGTACAGCCCATCCCAAAAAAAGGATCTAAAACCGACCCTTACAACTACAGGCCTATAGCTCTGCTTTCTGTTATAAGTAAAGTGATGGAGAGGTGCATAAATCGCGAGCTTCTAGACTACCTCGAACGTCACAGCTTGATTAGCGACAGGCAGTACGGTTTCCGGCACCAACGATCCACAGGGGACCTCCTAGCTTACGTCACGCAGCTGTGGAGTAGACTCATCCAGTCTCATGGTGAGGCTCATGTCGTTGCTCTTGACATCACGAAAGCGTTCGATCAGCTGTGGCACGCTGCCCTCTTAAGCAAACTTCCATCCTACGGCCTCCCAGAAAAGCTTTGCAGATGGGTGGCTGACTTTATCTCTGGCCGCAAGATATCCGTCGTAATTGACGGATTCTCCTCTTCATCCCACAACGTCAACGCGGGTGTTCCCCAGGGATCGGTCTTGGCTCCAACACTGTTTCTCTTACATATCAACGACCTCCTTTCCTGCACGATCAACCCAATCCACAGCTTCGCTGATGACAGCACTCTACATGCAGGAATTCAGAGTGACAAGCCGATGTCTGCCGCTGAGCTGGAAAAAAGAAGACTAGCGACGACTTCTTCTCTGACAAGAGACCTGGAAGCTATCACTGCTTGGGGACGCAACGATCTTGTACAGTTCAATGCTTCCAAGACACAGTACTGTACTTTGACGAACAAAAAGCGTCCTAGCGCTCATACAGTTTCGATGGACGGTCGAGTTCTACCAAAGAGCCATTCATTTCGGCTGGTCGGAGTCCAGATCACCGAGGAACTGATCTGGCACGAACACATCTCTTCAATAGCTGCAGCTGCTGGGAAAAAGCTAGGCTATTTGTTTAGGGCTAAGAAGTACTTTTCTCCGCATGACCTTCTCATTCTATACAAGGCCCAGATAAGGCCTAGCCTCGAGTATTGCTCACACATTTGGGGTGCTGCCGCCCCGACTACATTGTCCATGCTCGATGCTGTCCAGAGGAGGGCGGTTCGACTGATCGATGACTCTTCTCTAACAGACAGTCTCGGGACTCTTTCTCACCGGCGGGCCGTCGGCGATCTAGCTCTTTTCTATCGCTACACCAACGGGCTTTGCTCCTCAGAGCTCTCTTCCATGATGCCGCCGCGCGATGTGCCTGCCAGACAGACCCGCCTGACTTCGGCGTCCCATCCTAACCGTGTCAAACTTCGTACATCCAGAACTGGCCGATACGACCGCTCCTTTGTTCCGAGGGTGTCTAGATTGTGGAACAATCTACGGGAGGAGGCTTTTTCCCGTTCTACTAACCTTAGGCAGTTCAAAAATCGTATTAACAAAATTTCTTTGGGATCATCATAGCAGCCGCGGTGTTCCGGCATTTAGGCTTTGGCCTGCGCGGCTGTTTCGATATAAATAAAAAAAAAATAAAAAAAAATAACAAAGAATGAGAGGAAAGACTGAGAACTTTGTTTTGCATTCATTCTTATGACATGACAGAATGGCTGGACAGAACGCTTCTTTATGGGCTATAATTTCTTTATAACATACATTTACGAAATTCTATCATTTCGAGCTTAGACGACAGGTTTTCTCGACGACCTTTCACGTCAGTCTCTGCCGATGATTTTTCATTACGTTTGCACCATATACACAAGTGATCCTTTCTGCCATCCACACGTTCTTAGTTACCAAGTTTTCCCACTAGCTGTGAAATATTCTGGAAGGAAATACAGATCAGGAAAGTCTGACAGTTTCGTTTTCCATTCACTCTGGTGACAGGAAAGAGTGAATGAATGTAAGAAGGGAACGCTAGTTTATGGGCTGCAGTTCTTCCACAACATTGTTCCACGATGCTTCTTTATGACGTTCTATCATGTCGAGCAGGTGACGCACAATTCTCGGTGAACTTTAGCGCTCAAAATTACCAGGATATACAGAGTTTCGCTTGCATATAGGCACCAGGAAAATGATTTTTAGCATCCTAAAGTCAAATGTCGCATAGTTTTGCTATTTTATACTAAGTACTAGAGTGTACATGATACACGGAATCAGATACATGTGAAACGACTTTTGAGTCGGTTTAAATACGTATGCTACAAAAGGTGGCAAAAATGGACCAGTATGGAATGTGAGTCCGACCATTCTTTTAATACGTTTTTTGGGTAGCTGCAAGCGAATCCGGAGCCCATTCAGTCCGGAGATGCCCTGTTTTCGATATATTGGCAGATGTTCTAGTTATCAAAACAACTGCTATTAAAAAATCGCCAGAAATTGTTGGGCGTCTATCATCTAGATATAAGCTTAGATTCCAAATTCGATGTCAATTTAGTGCTAGGATTTACGGTTGGCTTCGAGATAATCTTTTGTCACTAACTGTGAAATATTCCGGAACCATCTGCGGAATGGATGATTTTTTTCCATAATAAAACGTGACAGGAATGAGTAACAGTCTTATTTTCTATTCACTCTTGTAAAAGGAAAAAATTGCACGATTTAATGATAGGAAAAAATGCTCGTGTATGGGGTGTAATCTTTTCACAACGTTCTTGATGAGCTTTTCTTTCCCGACGAGCTTTTTAACAGAGCGTGTTATCTGTACCCTATTTCACCAGTATCTATCACGGTAGAATGACAGCTGGCTATGAAGTAATATTTCGAAATTCCTCATATTGGCAAAGGACACATAATTCTGACGAATCCAGAAAAGCTCATGTGCATGCAAAATACAAAACGCTATAAAAATTTTTTTGATAGATTTGCACCCGCGATTCATTATAGCCAACGTTGCAGACTAACACAAACATGTCACTTGCTGATCAGCTGTTCACCTCAGTAGACGTCAAAGCGTGATGCATACTCGTGAAATAGGGTATATACAGATCTCCGTAATGTCTAGCGGCTTTGGCGAGTTTCTGCTGTCACAACCGATTGTGATTAAAATCTAACTTCCACAATACCATCGTCTGACTTACTCAAGTGAGACAGGACAGCAGTCAGTGGCGCTCCCAGGGTTTGACTATGGGAGGGGTAAAATGGAAAGTAAATTCTCAGTGTGACGTACTGAAGTGTTATAATGATTTAACATTAAAAGCATGGACAAATGCAGACATATGAATTTCTTACAGTAATTTCTGTATAAAATACATACATTTACACTACAATATTTAGTTACTGTTTCTAATATGTCCACTACTTCAGCTTCAGTTTTTGAATTAACTACTGATGCAAAGAAAATATTTTATGTATTTATACTTAAATATATTTTTAAATTTTGTAGATAATAATGTACCCATAGAGATATGTCTGACGAGTCTTATATCATACCTATAATCCGAAAACAATAACGCATCTATCTATCTATACTAAGTGACATACAAACCCGAACACCCAGTTTAAATGGTTTTATTTTAATAAAAGTTGGTGAATGTATTTATCTCACTGTAAATAACAAGTGAAAAAATTTTCAGCCTTAAAAGTTGGACATTCCGATTTTTATACTGCTTTTTTTAATTCACTAACGCTCTAAAAATGAATATTTCAGCCGCAGTAAACAATCAACGTTAGCGGATTTTGGTTCTTGACATCGTTTACAATCGGTTACGATGCCTAGAGTACGGAGACCTGTACGATTTCGTCAACTTAGTGAGTTTGATAGGGGCCGTATAGTGGGACTTCGGGAAGCTGGACTTTCTTTTCGGGCAATTGCAGTTAGAGCGCAAAGAAGTGTAGACACTGTGGTTAGGTGTTGTCAGGCATGGCTTCGAGAAGGCCGTACGCAAAGAGCAAGGGGCACTGGACGCCGCCATAGAACAACAGACCGTGAAGATCGCCGCCTAAGATTATTGGCCTTAAGGGACCGTTTCTCCACTTCCAGGTCCATTGCAAATGAATGGTTTGCAGAACACGGAAGACCTATTGGCATGCGAAGTGTTTACCGACGAATGAGAAGTTTTGGCTTGTTTTCATACCGGCCACACTGGGTCCTCCCTTTAACTCGAGAACACCGACGTAATCGCCTTGAGTGGTGCAGACAACGGTCACTCTGGGATCAGGAATGGAACAGTATTGTCTTTAGTGACGAGTCTCGATTTTGTTTAGGCATGCACGATGGTCGTGCCAGGGTTAGAAGGCGACGTGGTGAAAGGAGGAATCCACAGTTTTTTGTTGAAAGACATGTTCATCACACTGTTGGAGTTATGGTTTGGGGTGCTATAGCTTATGGTTCCAGGTCACCTTTAATCTTCATCAGAGGTAACATGAACGCGCAGCGTTATATCCACGAAGTTCTAGAACCCCATCTTTTACCCTATCTTGACACCCTGGCAGATCCAACAAGATAATGCCCGACCACATGTTGCAAGAGTCACAATAGACTTCTTTCAACATAATGATGTCACATTGTTACCATGGCCACCAAGATCTCCCGACTTATCCCCAACTGAGCACGTGTGGGATATGATGGGTAGGAGATTGCTCAATTTGCAACGTCCTCCTCAGACTCTAGAAGCACTTCGAGAGGAGTTGGTGGTTGCCTGGAATGAGATACCACAGGAGGACATTGACCACCTGATCAGAAGCATGCCTAGGCGCGTTGGAGAGTGCGAGGCACATCAGGGTGCATCCACACATTATTAAAGGTCAAAGGGCTTTAAAGCAGTGCAATCATTTTGAAATTTTTATCATTTACTTATTATGCTTCATTAAGTACTTATACAAAATTTTATTAAAATAAAACCATTTAAACTGGGTGTTCGGATTTATGTCACTTAGTATATTAATATTGTATATATTCAGTCTGTAATGATTTTCGTTGTCAGACGTAACTATCTTCGGTATGTTCATTTGCCTGCTTGTTATTCTTGGCACAGTCAGTTCAATACCCAGGATTTCACGTGATTTCACTATAGATGCGAATAGTATAGAAGTGTTTTGGGAATTTGCGCGTCTTTCTTGTACAACTGAAATAATATTCGCTATGAGTTTGACAGCGTATTGTTTGTCAAATCTTTTTGATTCTAAAATCTTACTCAGGTTGACTGTCAAAGCTAATATATCACATAAACACTTTAGTGATACGATAAATTGGTTGGAAGTAATGTCAGTTTTCAAAGACTCCGCTTTTGAAGAAGCTTCGCGGTCTTTCCAATTTGATATAATATTTAGTACCTCTACAATTTTCTCGAATTTGCTTTCAAATTGGAGCACAGACTCATTTTCCGTCCATCGTGTTACGCACATACTATGAATTTGATATCCGTCTAAATAGTTTTCTTTTTAATACTGTATTTCTTTTAGCGGCTGCTTTGAAGCACGCAACTACTTCATTATACCTACAGTATTTCTTACTGCTTGGACAATGCTGCTTTTTGAAATCGAAATATTTAAGGCATGATTTCCACATGAGCGTTTCAGAACATTTGGCAAACGTTTTTGCAATTCCATTACAGCGCCCTTTTGTTCACCTAACATCAGGTTACACGTGTTAGTACCGATGCCCATACATAGCTTTGAGTCTAAGTTATTGGTTTTAATGAAATGCTTGCCTGTTTGAGGAAGAGTTTGACATGTGGGTTTGGGCTCCATTGTATCTTCATCAAAATTTGAGTAGCAATCCACAAATCCCATGAAGTCCTCGTAAATATATTTTTTGTAACAATACTGCAATACTTGACATTTGTGATTTATTTCTAATTTCTGTAGTTTCGTCAAATATAATACTGTAATACTGACTTTGCCTCGTTAATACCAACCAGATCAACAAAAATCCGCTTGTTCACTTCTCAGCCAAATTTTGTTGCGTACTCCGGACCGGTACAGAATTTAGACACTAGACTAGACAATAAAAGACTAGACTATACCTGTTCAAACAGGAAGAAGCGCACACCGTTGCTGTTGGTGGGAGAGTAGTCGCTAGTCGCATGCGCAGTGAGCGGGTTGGCAGTGTTGCCGCTGTCCTTTCTTAAAGTTACAGATTCTTTTATAAGACGTTTACTTTATACCACCTTTTCAAAGACCGCTCAAGTCGTCTGGGGGGGGGGTAATTACCTCCTTTGCTCCTCCCGTGGGAGCGCGAGTGACAGCAGTGCTGTAAGGATGCGTGGTCTCAAAGAGATCCAGCATTTAACTAGCGTGTGACGAAACGCGGGGGCAAAAGTAGAGCTCGTCATCAGCTGGGTCAGTCGTTGGGTAATAGCTATTGCCGCAACAGTAAGACCTGGTTCATCCGTCTTGTTTGAGCCCAACCAGAGCTCATTGTGGCCATTGAAATCACCAAGGAGAACTACCTCTGAAGCGGGGTGATTGATGTTCAGGAAGTCGATATTAACACCAATGAAAATAAATTTGGAGGATGTTTTGGAGTTGAGGCAAAGCCACAAATTGTCCTTCAGGCCTGATTCCAAAGAAACGTCTCTGGGACAGGGAAGACTGCTGCGGACAAAAGCTACAACTCCTACGTCCTTCCTTAGATTGGAGTGCAAATCGTAATTTGGGAATTAGTCGGCGAAGAATCTGTGATTTTAGTCACCGCCAAGAAAAGCATGATGATTAAACTGCACGTAGTGATGAACAGCATCAATGTTGCTGTTAATCCGGCAGGTATTCGTGGAAACCTCTACCGGGACAGTCCCAGAATGAAGAGACTATATCCGGTATTCTTAATGCTCGAGGGATCCATCATCGTTAATTTCTTTGTTTGACAGGGACAGGGAAGATAACCGACTGCGTAGAAAAAATCGTTTTTCACAATTTATAATCATAAAAAAATTTACTTTTTTTGAACCGTAGGTACATGTCACTATGGTTGGAAGACAGGCAAGAATACCTAAGACAGTTCTTGCAGTATAGTCGACAATTGACGATAGAAGAGATAATGCAGATGAAGGATGAAGCTCAACCACCTATCAAGGAAACACCTCCTACCATACAGCAATTTAAAGAACAGATCGACACCTATGAGGATCTTTACAAGAAGGTTAATCCATAGCTTCTAGTGCCTATAATTGTAGGATAACGGAACAAGGTCATGTGAGAGATACCTGCTGAGTTGAAGATATTGTTTCTTTCCATTCAAATGTCACTTTTGTCCTCGGGTCGACTAAGTTAACTGTCAGTGCACTTTATTTGTTCTATAATTATTGTCTCTCTTATAAAATAAGGTTAAAGTACTGGTTCCAGGATGCTTCCTTGTGGGACACTTTAAATGGTGAATATCCGCTTCCCTTATTAATACTGGAGTATATCAAGTCCATATAGCTTCAATACGTAATACTAGTAGTATTACTAGTAGTAGTAGCAAGATTTATTTAGCACTTTAGAGTACATTACCAGAATAATTATAAATAATTTAGAATTTGTTAATTTAAGCCATATATAGTATGATGAAAATGCTGGGCAAACTATAATTGTAGATTCAAAAAGTAATTCCTCAACTTTACTTTAAATTTTGTCAAAGCCTTCGGGTTTTTCATATCTGTATTGGATTTATTATATTCAGTCAATCCTTGGTGGAATACATACTTGTAGTAAAATTGGACATTCAATGGAAGTCTTCGTTATTTCTGATATTATGTAAATGATGGTCGGCATTTGATGATAGACATGGTGGACAAGGTATTTGGTAGACTTTTTCACGTTGAGCCATTTTAATTTGCTAAACATTTGTCGAGATGGAGTATACTTCTTAATTCAGTATTATTCTGATGCTCTTAATTTATTCTTTTCAAAAATGAAATTATTAGCTAAATGTGGAATAGTCTAGCATAACAAGCAATTTGGAAGAATGATAGTATCATAGACACATTTTCTGATATATGATCTCAGACTTCCAAAAAATCTTGATAAATATCCCACTTTAGTACAAACCTTTTCTCATGATGGATATCAAAATTTAATTGAGAGTCAACAAAAACTTCAGAATATTTAAATTTTATTCTGAATTCAATATCTCCACCATCCACATTTAGTTGAACATTTGTACATGATTTTTTCCAATTAAAATGGCTTCCATTTTACTTGTATTTAATTTGAGTCAGTTAGATGCTAACCATCTTTAAACAAGTTTCAGGTTTTCATTTGTATAAGAGAAAACCAGTCTAATTATTTTGAGTACTTATATAGATTTTGTATTTTTTACTAAGGCAGGTAAATCGTTTATGTATAAAATTAAAAGAAGTGGTCCCAGGACATCGCCCTGTGGAAAACTTAAAGTATTTTCAATTTTTGATGAACTAGTGTTATGAACTTGTATACTTTTAAACAAATAATTTTTAATGCAGTCTAAAACATTTCCTGATCTAACATATGCCTTCAATTTATTTAGCAAAATGTCTATCAAATATTTCAAATGCCCTTTTTAAATCTTCTGCTATGACAACTTCTATGTCTCTTCTCCGATTCTCATTAACTAACCGGAAAGCCGTTTCTGTAGAATATCCTTTGCAAAAGCCTGCTTGTGTTCTCACAAAAATTTTGTTTTCTTCTATAAACTGCATAATTTTTAAATGTCTGGTAACATGTACTGATCTCATATAGCTGCATCTTTTAGAATTTTTTATTTTGGAACTGGCGTTATAGTAGAGCATTAGAGCAAACAACTCCTTGTGAGTGAGAAGTTAATATATTTTTAATACGATTTATTGTACTTAAGGTTGAGAAAATTCAGCCGGAAGAGATAATCATGGATTGGCTGAGACTGGATGTGAAGCCACTTCGCCAGGCTATATTAAACATCGCTTGCAAATGGGGTAACTTGTTTAAACAGCATCTGTACAACCACGTCATTCATAGTTTGGACGAACTGGAGAATTTCATTAAAGAAGCTATTACCGCAATGCAGGTTGGTATTGGCTTTTTTGTAGCTCAAAAAATCAATGTAAGGTGAAATAATCAAACGAACGTTTGTAAATAAAATTGAATTGGAACAAATAAGGCAAAAAAATAAATGATGAATCCTTCGAGTATTAAAAGTTCTGGGGGTAAACTCACCCCACTCTCGGAATTTCCGTCAGGGGTATTACATATCTTGAAAACTGATATGATGTCGTGTTTTTGACATTATGTAAGTTTTTTTTTCATGTGTAGGTTTTGCTATAAGATGTCAACTTGTTTACCTGATGTGCACCCGTTGTGTAGCTGTACGTATTGCCTAAACGTCATCATGCTTGCATTACAATCTGAGGGAGAAAAGGGAAGTTGTGGCTTTTGTCCGCAGCAGTACTTTCTGCTCCAGGGAGGGTTCCTTGGAATCAGGCCGGAAAGACATTCGGTGACTTCGCCTCAACTCCAGATCATACCATCCATTTATGGCCTGGCTCTGATGAGATGTAAAATCTGCTCCAGAGATGGTATTATTGAAGGTCTAAGCTGTAAGTTGTGTACTATAGCTGGAAGAAAACAGGCGAAACTTCAGTACATAGGTGCTTACTGAGGGTTTGTGTGCTGATAATCTGTGTTGATGATGATTCCCTTGGCCTCTAGTCACAAATGCACCTACTTGAGATGTATGCTTTACTCTGGAAGTTACATATGCGCACAAGTTTGCTAAGTTTAAACAACGAGAGAGATCAATACAGGAAATCCCTGGTTGGATAAGTATATTACAACTAACAGGTGAGAAAATAGGCTACAGCTACTGCTGCTCAACCAATGTTCTTCCTGTTACATCTTCCCAGAGATATACTCTAGAGACTATCTCGCCATTCTGCAACCAGAAAAGCGTGTTGGCGAACTGAGTTGCAGCATGGTCGTTGAACATGTCGTTGAGTCACTACTGCAACATTGGTGCCTTTCATCAGCTATCTGCGGTCTAACCGGCCCACCATACTCTTCTCTGCATGACTGGCCCATCTGGTGCGAGCCCTAGATTTTCCCCCGCATCCTGCCACACAGGTGTCTAACTTCTGACCACGCACCTTTTTATTACAGCACTGCTGTCCTGTCTGCCCTTAGAAACTGTTCGTCGGCAGAAAATCAAAACATACAAAATCCCAGTGTCGAGAGCAGATAAGCCGATGTGGAGTACAGAAACAAAAATATAACTAAATGGTCTGCAATGCCAAAGTCCAGCACGATTTCAATATTAGGCACATGGTTAATATTGCAGTCATTCTTTCTGGACGCTATCCAAGCAAACTGAAGGGAAGTTCTCAAAGAGTAGCCTCCTATCACTTATGCGCCGAGGGGTTCCCCACATTATGCGGGAATTAACATTGAGACATAAGACAGGTGTATCTCTTCCAGATACTTTTCGAATCTGGCACAGTCTCAGAATACTGGGAATTTGCTTATGTCTAACCCATTCTAAAAAAAGATCTCTATTATAAGTAGAGTGACTGAGAGCTTCCTGAGTCGAGAGCTTCTCGAGTACCTTAACGTCGCGGCTTGATTAGCGACAGGCAAAACGGTTTTTGGCACCAGCGAGCCACGGGGACCTCCTTGCTTACGTTGCGCAACTGTATTTATTGTTTTACTTATTTATTTCTTGGTCATATCATATAAAAAATATGTATGGCAAGTTATTGGATGCAGAAACCATAGAGTAAAAAAAAGTCAACTATATACAATAAAAGGCCCATGAGACATGAATCACAAAAGAAACAAAAAATTGTAGTTTAAAAATTCATCATCAGAGGAGATACATTGATCGAGAAGATGTAACATACTTTATTACTGTCTTGTACCATAGTTGTGGATTGTGGATTGGATTGCGTGGTAGTTTGGATTTTCATGAATATGTAGCAAAGTGTGAAATATGTGGATACATGTAACGGCAGTATCTCCAATATTTTGAAGAGAGCACCTTGTGTAATCCCCACGCAAGTTTTTGCTTTTTGAAGGCACGTACATGATCCTCCACAAATCATTACGCCATACATAAGATACGAGTGGCATATGCCGAAATATGTGTTTGAAATGCCTTCTTTCGTAGAGACACGTTGTAATTATCGTAGTTCGGATAACTAAGCTGAAAGAGTCTACATGAGCCTCCCATTTGAGAGCTCCATCAATTTTTATGCTGAGTAAAGAAACCGCCTCGTTTTCATTCAACCGACTGTTTACTGACAGAATCGTTTTTTGAGTTGTCTCTGTTTTTGTCTGATCAAGTTTTAAACACTTTGCCGCAGATCTTCTGTAGGGTAACTCATCCAGTCTCCTTGTGAGACTCGTGTCGTTGCTTTGAATATCACGAGGTCGTTCGACCACCTGCGGCATACCGCCCTCTTATGAAAACTTCCATCTTGTCTTGTCTTGTCTCCCAGAGGAGCTCTGCTGACATCCTCTCTGGCCGCAGGACATCCGTCAACAACCAGGCTCTACTCTTCATCCTACAATGTCAAGGAGGGTGTTCCCCTGTTCCTCTTGCATATCAACGATCCCCTTTCCTATACGACCAATTCGATCCACAGCTTTGCTAATGGCAGCACTCTACATGTATGAATTGACAGTGTCAAGCCGATATCTGCCGGTGAGCTGAACTGGCAGCTACTTCGTCTCGGGCAAGGGATCTGGAAGTTATTACTTGCTACGCAACAGTCTGGTCTGTGTGTCTGCCAGACAAACTTGCCTGACTTCGGTCTCCCATCCTGACTGTTTCGAACTTTGGACGTACAGAACTGGTCGGTAAACCTGCTCCTTCCTCCCCGAGGATGTCGTGATCGTGGAAAAATCTGCCCGATGAAATTATTTCCAGTTATACTAGCCTCAGACAGTTCAAAAACTGGATTGAGGGTCCTCATACCCTATGCGGCTGCTTCGCTATAAAAAAGATATATCCATGACTTCGACTAGGACCATCAAGCCCATTTGGAGATTAAATGACTTTTTTACGGAAACACATATTTTTAGTTCCTAAAGTATAAATTGCAGACAGTTTTTTAGCTCTAATAAATTCTACCACTGAACCTGACCATGACCTTTAAGGCGATCTAAGATCAGATACATTTTCAAGCAAGATCCCCTTTTTTTATATAAGGGTATAAGGAACGTGAAACATTGATATTAATTGTTGCTTGAGAAAGTTGGATAAAAAATAGTCAATTTCACCATTGCATTACTTTGAATATTACATTTTTTTCTCGAGAGTCTACATACTAATGCGAAACAAAATATCTCCTATTACACTAGATAGATTGATATGCTTAATTGACGGAAGAATACAATCATTTTTAATGACAAAGCTAACTTAAAACTAAACTATAACATAATTACATAATGTGGATCTTAATTAGGTGAATTGTAGAACTCATACATACTCGTACGTGTACTCCTATGTATGTAATGTATTGGTTTAGATATCAAAAGGTACTTCACGACGGAATATCTTTAAATTGCTAAATTACTTTGATAGCATCAGACACGTTTAAATTCCCAGACTATTATAAATTATCGAGTATTTTACAAGTGTGGGCCACGTCCGGGGTACCTCAAGGGTCAAATCTAGGTCCATTATTGTTTTTGATATTTATTAATGACTTGTCTTTTGAACTGAAGTGTTTTTATTTGTTTTTCGCTGATGACCTTAAAATCTGCACGTCAGTCAAGACAGTCGAGGATTGCGTCATGACTTAGCTCTAATTTCGTCATGGTGTTCACGAAACTGTCTCAGTCTGAATGTTTCGAAATGTAAAGTTATGACTTATACAAGAAAGGTCAACTGTTTAATTTATGATAATTATAACATCAATGGTCAGGTTATAGACAGATGCACCTCTTTTAGAGACCTTGGAGTCATTTTTGATATCAAGCTAAAGTTTACTGAGCATATACTCAATATCTCGTCGGCTGCCACTCGACTACTTTGTTTCTGTATCAGAAACTGGAAGGGTTTCTCCAATGTTGATATATTAATGACTCTATTTTTTACTTTTGTCAGGAGCAAGTTGGAGTATGCGACTCTGATCTGGTCTCCTATATACCAAAATTCTGTCGCGATCCTTGGGGCCATTCAACGTAAAGCTTTAAAGTATTTTCACCTTAAATGCACAGGTTCTTATCCAGAAAGAGGTTGTGACCATAGTGCCCTATTCGGGTTTTTCAATTTGGATTCACTGTCAACAAGACGAAACATATTTGCTTTGTCGTTTTTGTATGGCCTCATTCACAATAAAATTGACTGTCAAAATTTACTTGAAAAAACATGTTTCCGCGTTCCAAGGCTAGGGAGTCGACAACAAACGGCATTCTATTGTCAAGTTGGCCGTACAAATTTTATGACAAAATCGCCGATTAATCTCATGTGCTGTTTCATGTAATTGAGCGTGTATGTTTTGTATATCAATTCAGTATTTAAATTTATAAAATCAAGAGAACATTTAAATGTCATACATTTTGTCTTATTAATATTGAAGTCAAGTAATTGCTGGCACACCATTTTTTGATTGATTGTACATCACTATCAATTTTTATCTTAATCTCATTTATGTGTGTCTTACAAAGATATTGCGGTATCGTCAGCAAAAACTAGGCATTTACCATTTATGTTTAAGTTTAATAAATCATTGATACAGGCTAAGAATAAAATACTGATCCTTGACGTATCCTGTATTTATATTTAATTTATTTGAGACAAGCATGATGATTACATCCTTCACTCATTCAAAAGCTTCAGAAAAGTCGCGAAAAGAGCTATTGAAATTTGCTTATACTTTTAATTTCGGTATAGCTGTTGGAGTAATGTAAAAATATCGTCCATGGTATTTTTTTGTTTTTCAAATCCAGTATTTCAACTTATGGATCTAAAATTTCCAAGGGTTTGCACCTCCTTTATAAATAGGAATAACTATTGATGTTTGCAAAAACTCTAATTCCACGAGAGCGGATCCGCGGGTTTAGGCCAGTATTAGAATAGTTTAATAAGTAGTAGTAGAAAGATTTATTTAGCACATTTGGCTACATAAACAGAACAATTGTAAACAACTTAGAACTAGTAAATTCAAGCCATATGGTGTATGATGTAAATGCTGGGCAACCTATAATTGTAGATTTAACAAGTGATTTCTCAATTTTACTTTAAATTTTGTCAAAGTTTTCTGGTCTTTTATCTCCGAGTATAATTTATTATATTCAATCAACCCTTGATGGAATACAGATTTGTAGCATATGTTATACTTTTTGGTCATTAAATGGAAGTCATCTTTATTTCTGGTATTATGTAAATGATGGTCGACATTTGATGATGTTAAATTAGTAAGACTTGATGGAAATATATTATTTTTTGCTTTATAAATGAATATCATTACAAGATATTTGATAAAATTTTTTACATTGAGCCATTTTAATTTGCTAAGCATTTGCCTAATTGGAGTATATTTATCTTTATTTAGTATTATTCTCATGCACTTATTTTGTAAAATTTGCAGTCTTTCAAAAATGGAATTATTTGCTAAATATAGTATAGTCGAACAGTACAAGAAATTTGGAAGAATGATGGTATTATAGATAATTTTTCTGTTATATGAACTCAGACATCCAGAAACTCTCGATAAATATCCCACTTTACTACTAATCTTATTTATAACTTTTTCATAACGAATATCAAAAATTAATCTAGAGTCAACAAAGACTCCCAGGTATTTAAAATTTTCTACGAATTCAATATCTTCACCATCAATATTCAGTTGAACATTGTTTTTTCCGATTAACAAGGCTTTCGTTTTACTTGCATTTAATTTTAGTCTGTTAGATGCTAACCATTTTGAGACAAGCTTCAAGTCTCCATTTATATAAGAGATACCAGACTGAATATTTTTAGTACTTATATAAATCATAGTGTCATCGGCGAAAATTTGAATTTTGCATTTTTTGACTGTGGCAGGTAAATCATTTATGTATAAAATAAAAAGAAGTGGTCCCAGGATACTGCCCTGTGGAACACCCAACGTATTTTCAATTTTTGATGAAATAGTGTCATTAACTTTTGTAACTTGCATCCTTTTAGACAAATAATTTCTAAACCAATCTAAAACACTTCCTGTTATACCATATGCCTTCAATTTACCTAACAAAATATCTCTATGAATCGTTTCAAATGCCCTCTTCAAATCCAAAAATACTGCTATGACAACTTCTTCTGAGTCTATGGCTCTTCTCCAATTCTCAGTTACCAACTGGAAAGCTGTTTCTGTGGAATATTTTTTTCTAAAGCCTGCTTGCGCCTCCACTAAAATTTTGTTTTCTTCTATAAACTGCATTAATTGGTCATGCACTATGGACTCTAATAATTTTTCAATGTCTGGTAACACATTTACTGGTCTCATATCGCTGCATCTTTTATAATTTTTTATTTTGGGAACTGGTGTTATTGTAGAGCATTTCAAATTTTCAGGGAAAGAACTGCTTCTCAGTGAAAAATTAATCCAATTTAATACAGGATATCCCAAAATTTCGAAACAGTTTTTCAGCACGTGTTTTTGTTTCAGGTGCCTCTAACTGAGAACGACTACGACGGCCTCCTTAAAGTTATGGGTTACTTATGGAAAGTGAAAGAACGCCAGATAGAGACAGATGCAATGTTCGATCCATTGAAGCAGATCATGGATCTGCTCAAAGAGTATGGTGTCGAATTTCCTGAGGACATATACGTCCAACTGCAAGAGATACCCGATAGGTGGAACCAATGTAAAAAGGTAAGGATTCTCTTAATTATAGAAGTAGAAACTCTCGGCCGTCTGCCGTGTCTTCCTTCACATCGGTGCTAGCAGAATTTCGTCATCGTGGGTAGTGCTGCGGTATCCTATCAATAGTTAGATGTTCCGCTACTTAGGTGTAAAGAGAAACAACGAAAATTGTAGCACTGCGGTCGTTTTTCACTATCAAAATACAAAAGCGTGAGCAAATTGGTAACATATTACGTATTACATAAGCTATTGTTTACACTTAAGATTCCTCTACTATTACTTCTTCCTCCTATTAACCTGATATTCTCCGCCACTGCAGAATCGCTTGTACTCAATCGGTCTGGCAGAGCTATTCATCATAAATTCAATTTGTTCGCGAAACCTCACCGTGCCGTCCCGTTCCAATAAAATTGAAAATAATTTTGCACATTGTGTGCCTTACTCAGTGCTGCCTGCCGCGGCGTGCGTGTATGGTGCCAGGTCGATCGATAATCATCACAATTCAATGGCGCGCGCCTCAATTCCATTCGACTATACTGAATGGACCTTTTATTTTCATATCTTAGATCCTTCAGGAAGCTTCAAATCTATTAGAGCCCATTAGCATTGACGCTTCCACCAAGAAAGGTCAAGGAAAGATTTAATCTTTGGGATTCACAAATTAGGATAATTATCAAAGCTTCCGATTTTCTACATTTGTAGTTACAATTTAAAAGACAAACAAATTCCAATAGCTCCTGTTGCGACTTTACCTAAGCTTTTGACTGTGTAATTCATTATACACTATTAAAAAGCTTAAACAAATATGGTTGTACTGGAACTCCAGTCAGTTGGCTTAAAACCTACCTAAATAAAATTAACACAAAAATTAAAAGTGATATACAATCAATAAAAAACTGTCATATCATTGTTCACTTTGGAAACAGAAATGCTCATTTTTAAAAATAAATCTAAATTTGAAACAATAAATATAAGTTTCGATATTGAACGAAAACGAGATTTTAAATTAGTAACACGTAGATCAACACCTGTGAAAGACTCAATCATTTATAATGGTCTTAAAATTTAAATTTGTCTCCCCGATGATATCAGAGGAATTAACAGTTTCAGATATTCCACCGTGAACTTAATAGCATTTTAATATCCAAACTATATTACATCTTGTCTGAATTATACAAATCACATACTCAAGGTCCACGTTGTAGTTATGCCATAGTCTATTTCCAAGTTAGCTTTGCCACTGAGAATGATTGTATTCTTCATCATATTTATCTATCTATCATCTTCAAAATGGTTTTCATGTTTTAATTTCTATTTATTGTACGATGTTTCGGCCACCTTGTGCAAAGAGTGATTGACAGTATATTTTGTTTATGTCTTTAAGGTGACAAGATGGATAGAGGGCCTGATGAAGCCAACCAGCAGAAATACGTATTGCTCGCGCTACCTATCATATTCTTTGCTCGAATCCACTCGTCTTCTTTTTGCGGATTTTGCCCATTATTTTCCTATTTTCATATACAGGGTGTAAAGTAAGTAAATTTTAAATTCATTTTGTTTGTGATAAGTCTCTTCTATCCCTCAACTTAGGAGGGCGGTTAAAAATTGAGGTTGTATTTCATTATTCATTTTATTGTAAAAACTATTTGAAATCCATGTAGAATAAACCCTGAAAATCTCAGCTTGCTACGATGACTGTATAATGTCACATTCGTTGTTGTGATGCGATAAACGTAAGAAACGCAATAGATCCTTATTACCTGCAAGTACAGAACCTATTGTGTTTAGTCGCCCTTTATGGCGATTTACTGACACATGTGGATGATAATTCAATTTTACTAACTCTTGTAGAATATGTTCGAAATGCCCTCCATTATTTTCTATACACAAGCGACACCTTCTGATAAAATTATCCTTTAGTCTTTGAAATGAATTTGCGTTTTCCATAATATTTATTTTAGCTTCATCAATTTTCTGGCACAGTTGGTTGACATTTGTATATTCAGATGTATAGATTATCCCTTTATGAAACCCCCATATATAAACATCTAGAGGATTTAAGTCGGGTGACATTGGAGGCCATCGTATGTGCCCACCTCTACCTATTCAACGCCCAGGAAAGGCACTGTCTAAGCAATGCCGTACATCCCGTGCAAAATGGCATGGGGCACCATCGCATTGAAAATACATGCGGCTTCGTCCAAAGGTACTTTCTCTAGCAGCTGATGCAAACTGCTTTGTAGAAAAGCAAGATATGACTGACCAGTCAACCTGGTGGGAAAGCTGTGTCGGCGAATAGCGTGTGAATTTTCACGCTCCATGAATGAAAATTGTGCACGTTGAATATTCCTCTTTGGTTAAAGTTTAAGTTGGATTTCTGTGTCCATAAGATGCTGTTGACAACCGTTTCATCCTCTTCGCACCTTCTCATCATATTCTCACAGAATTCAACCTGTGGTGCATAGTCGCTTGGAAGCAGTTCTTATACTTTTTGTACATGGTAAGGGTGCATGTTCTCCGAGCGTAGCATTGTGTGCACTGAAGTATGGGATATGTATCTGCTTCGGGCAATGGCTCTGGTGCTTATAGAGGGATCTCTCTAGACTGCTTCTATTTTATATTCTATTTCTTCTGGGCGTATCCTCGGCGCTCCTAGCTGACGATGAGTGCCTAGTATCCGACCCTCCATATACGCGTTATGGACGCGTGATATACCGCCGGTTGTGGTTCACCTCTCCTAACCACATACTCCCGCATGGGTATCATCTAAAAAATATATAAAACGTCAAAAAAGCTTATAAGACGTCATCTTGCAAACTAGGTAGTTTTTAGGGAGCAAACAGTCATTACAGGTTTGCTCGCTAGGATCGTTGTGAACGTCCATTTAAGGAGGACCCACTCAACTAAACTATACGCATTATTGGTTGCATATCGTTTGAGAGGTCAAATGGTCCTTGTCTTTAGCTTTTATCTCTGAGAAGAAAGTTGGTTGAATAGCAAGATCGCATCTGGATGGACTTATGTGTATTGGTCTGAGTGTGTATAAAGTCAGTCATATTTGCTGTGTGAGAAAATCATTATTGAATGTGCTGCTAATGAAGTATATCTGTTGGCTGTTCCCGACGGGTTAGTTTTATGTTGTGCTTTCTGAAGAGAGGTTATGTTCAAAGTTATAAACTACGAAAAACTGAGGAGAATTACGGGAAGTTATCATCGCTCCCGCGTTGTGTGCAATTACTGTTAGCATATATATTGCTTCTAATTCGATAGAGTACAGTAAATACGAGTATAATTATTTCTTATCTCTCTCATTTCAGCAAATTTGTATATGCAATTTCCAGAATGGATAAGAAACGTGGATGCGCAATTAATTTCTAGCTTTGAATCTCAATTAAGTGTATTTCAGACATGAACCCAATGTAATTATCATCAACACATACAACTTACAGATTAGACCTCCAGTAATGCCATCTCAGAAGACGATTTTACATCACATCAGAGCCAAAGATTGATAACAAGCCTCATGACGTTTCGTCAACACGTACAACTAGGTGCTAAGATAACATCTTGTAGAAAAACCTACATAATGTCAAAAAAAAAAACAGCATAATGTCAAAAAATCAGCATAATGTCACTTTTCAAGATATGTGATACTCGTACGGATACATGCGAGTAGCTCCTCGAGCATTTCCTAGGGCAGCACCATTCCAGTAATGCATTTCTGCAAAATCTCGCGGAGAATATGACATGATTCTACTCAGATGCCAAACGTTAGTTACAAATTCCGCGCTGGACCATTGCCAGTATTATAAAGCACGTTTTCAACCTTCGGTTGATCAACCGTCAGTTCAATGCTAACCGCCGGTTGAAATTATTTCGGTATTATTACCATTAGTTCAGGTCGACGTTGGCCAACTAGAAATTCGCGTCCGTTTCACAATGTTGCCTATTCTGCGGACTGTGTTATAACCAATCAGAATTAAGTATTTCAATTTTCCCGCTTCGATCGGTCGCATCGTCTCATTCAACATAAGCCAGTCGTAACCTGACCTAACCTTATATTTTTTTTTGATTTGTTTACTATTGCAAATTGCAAGCATTTTGTATGTGTCTATGGCTACAAAAAATAAAAGAATTGTTTATAGTGATGCAGATTGCCACCGGCAAACATAATTACGGTGTTTTTGCTAAAACGAAATCTTAATCTGAATTCATCTTCATTCCATCTGGTAAAGTGATCAACACGGGCTCTAAAATTTCTAGCAGTTCTAAAAATTCTGTTTTGTAACCTTCCTGCTAATTCATCTTCTGATGTATCAGACGAAGATTCACTGTCACTACTATCTCTCCACAGTAATTCTTCGTTTTCTGAAGACGACGATGATGACATTTTCCAGTAATGCAAAGAAAAATCAAAGAAAATACACAAATCACTCCCGACTTAACCTCAAAATGTAGGAGTCAACCGGTAGTTGGCATTTCAAACGAAACCCAATCCTCCGGTTGACTGAAACTTCACTGAACCGACAGTTCAACTTTCGGTTATCGTTTATAATACCGAAACTATCAGTTAACCTCCGGTTCAAATTCAGCCTTCGGTGAACCGTACATTATAATACCGGGTAATTTCTGTCGGACCGAAGATTGAGCGCTCTCGCATCTGGAATGCCGAGTGAATGTACAAGCTCATTAACTCTTTCAAGGGCGATGGTATATAAAATAAACCACCTCAAAGCATGCTTTAATGAGGCGGTGGTACATATTTAGCACCACTGCTAAAAATTTCATTTACAGAGCGAGCAGCGGTTCATTCCATGAACCACCGCTCAAAGTAAGTTGTTCACGTGTCTATAAAAGAGCGCATGCACCGACAATAGCGCGGGAGTTTGGAATACCGCATGCAAAAGCAAATTAAGGTTATGATTCATTAGTCAAGAATATATACCAGCTGTGAGTGGAGAAACACTAAAAAAGTAAGTAACATTGTATGATTTCGATGTAATTATCTTATTAAAGTTGTTTTGTTATGATTTTATCCTATATTTATTTGAAAAAAAAACCTCTATCGTTTTATATTTACTGGTACTCAATGCGTACCACCGCACACATTATGTTTTTATTTTACACCCTATTTTTTTTTTTATTTTCAAACTTACAACATGTCTGACTTGCCATTTAAACTAGTCGATATGACGGAAGGTGAATTATACGCCGAACTTGAAAACCTTTATTCAGAAATGGAACAAAGTCATATAAACGGTGAAGAAATTCCATCTGATTGTGAATCGTTAGCCAGTAGCAGAGACGACCAAGAAAGTGATACAGAAACTACTATTAGAAGCAACGTGTTGATATGTTCATATAGTGACTCAGAAGATGATATACCTTTGTCAACTATCGCTGGAAAACTGCAGCTAGCTTCATCTGCCTCATCAGTTGGAAGAAAGTCTCCAGTTTGGTCTAATGTGAAAACTCCTACACCACCTCCAGATTTTACTGCGCATTCTGGTCTAGCAGATTGTGTAACGAATATGACAGATCCAACACCGTACAAATTATTTCAATTATTTTTTTCTGACTCCTTGATAGAAAGTATTGTTTTTGAAACGAACCTGTATGCTCAACAACAGTTCAGCAAGCATAAACCAACCGATGTTCGTGAAATTAAAACATTTTTGGGGTTAAATTTACTTATGGGCATAAAGCGCCTTCCAAGTTATAGGGACCATTGGTCTCGCGCGCCAGATCTACATGACTCTTATGTCAGTAATCTAATGTCGGTAAAGCGATTTAGTTGGTTGCTTGGAAATATTCACTTGAATGACAATTCATTGATGGCAAAAAAAGGCGAAGCCAATTACGACAAGCTGTACAAAGTAAGGCCATTGTTGAACCGTATGTCAGAGGCATTTGGAAAATGTATGCTGCCAAGTCGTGAAGTTGCCATAGATGAATCCATGATAAAATTCAAAGGGAGAAGTTCTCTCAAACAATATATGCCAAAAAAACCTACTAAAAGGGGATACAAAGTGTGGATGCTGGCTGATAAAAATGGGTACTGTCTAAAATTTGATATTTATACAGGAAAACCTAGTGGTGATGTCGAGAAAAACTTGGGCTCAAGAATTGTGAAACAGCTATGCGAGGGTCTCGAAAATAAAAATCACTTGGTCTATTTTGACAATTTTTTCAACGGAGTCGAGCTAGTGGAAGATCTAAAAAATATGCAGATACATGCCTGTGGTACTGTTAATTCTTCTAGGCGGAATATTCCGAAGTTCAAATCAGATAAGAACATGAAAAGAGGTGATATCGAGTGGTTTACAAGCAATAGTGATTTGTCTGTTATTAAATGGAAGGACAAGCGTTCCGTTTTTCTCCTGTCTAACTTCCATGACCCACGTGATACTCTTGAAGTGAACCGAAAAGAAAAGAATGGATCAATTACCAAAGTGCCTTGTCCAAAAGCCCTTTCTGATTACAATGCCAATATGAATTTTGTCGACAAGTTCGACCAAAATCTTACTTCCTACAAAATAGATCGAAAAAGCCATAAATGGTGGCATCGCATTTTCTTTTTTTTCCTGGATGCTGCTGTTGTTAATGCATTTGTATTATATAAGGAGTTACAGCTACCCACACTTTCTATGAAAGATTTCCGAAGAAGTATAATACAAGGTCTTGTTGTACAACAACTGGTAGATAGAAAAAGATCTTCTTTGTCAACCTTTGAAACTGTTGCCATAAAAAAAAACAAACCATATGTTTCTGAAGAAATTCAATTTGAAGGTTCATCTCATCAACCTGAACGCGGTACTCGACGTCGGTGTGCTTACTGTAGCACTAAAAAAAAACAAGTAAGAACGGACTGGGTATGCAGCGTTTGCAATGTGCCTCTTTGTTTAAATAAAAATAAAACCTGTATCACAGACTTTCACAGAAATAAATAGGAATAGGGCGGTGGTACATATATAGCACCACTTATTTTTTGCCAAATACATATATGAAAAATTACATGTAAAAATAAAAAATATGAAAAGCTTTGAGTATTATTTATGTATATCCTCAAATAGCATTTTATGTGAAAAACAAGTAATAAAAAAAAATTTTTTTTGTGCCCAAATAGAGAATAAATTTTATAAAATAGTTTGCCCCTGAAAGAGTTAAGCTGATTTGGCTATTTGCGTAAAAAATCCGCCATTTTGATTTTGCAAAATGTTAATACATACAGTATCACCCGCAGTACTAGGACGAATCTAACAGTACCTCATATGTCAAAATCCATCAACTCATTTATACTGTAGCTCGTAAAATAGAATTTCTTGTTTACATGTAGATATCCGGTCTGCGTCAAACATACAGATTTTTTAACGTGAGGCACTTATCCTAGCAAGCTGAAATTTTCAGGGTAAGTCTACATAGATTGAAATGGTTTTTACAATAAAATGAATATGGAAATACAACCTCAATTTCTTGTACCGCCCTCCAAAGTTGAAGGATGGAAGAGATTATACACAAAAAAATGAATTTAAGACTTTTCGCTTTGACTTCTAATAAGACTTGTTAAAAAGTGACATAATCATTGGTAAAACTAACCATTTAGCTCATCTCAGAAAAAAAATCACAGCCCTAAACCTAATGGTTTATTTGTAATTGCGATTGAAAATTCATTATCCCGTTTTTTTCGAAATTTCACAAAATTCCAAATATCTCCTGAACTATAAAATTTCGAACCATACATATACGGTTTTATTCGGTAGGTTTTGAGGTCTTCTATCACCTGACTTCCGTTGATCCACTATTAACTTTACACCGTGTATACACCATTCTTTTGTAATTGTTGTCCTCTTTGTGTAACACTGGGACTTCCTGATTTTGATGTTTCTCGCTTTGTCATATGGTTCTTTAATTCTATATTTAACAGGTTTTCTTTATAGCGAGGCAACCGCGCAGGCAGAAACCTAAATGCCAGGGCACCGCGGCTGCTATGAGTACCTTAATGAAACTTTGATAATCCGATTTAAGAACTGTCCAAGGTTCGAAGTTTCGTGGATCTGAGAAAAGCCTCTTCATGTATATTGTTCCACATCTCAATACAATCGGAATAGAAGAGTGGTCATATCGGCCAGTTCTTGATGTACAAAGTTGGAATCGGCTGGGATGGCGACTGCAGTCAGGCGTGTCTGCCTGGCAGGCAAATCGTGCGGTAGCAGCATGGAAGAGAGCTCTGAGGAGTAAAGACCGCGGGCCTGACGGAAGAAGAAAGCTAGATCGCCGATGGCCCGCCGGTGCGAAAGGGTCTCAAGATTGTCCGTCCGAGTCTCGGGGCTTGGTCCTATGTGTGCGTTGTGCACACTGAGCAGGTCATGTGGAGAGAAGTACTTCTTAAACATAAACAAATAGCACAGCTCTTTCCCAATAGCTACCTCTACCGACAAGGTATGTTCGTACATCAGGCCCTCGGTTATCTTTAATCCGACCACCCGAAATGACTGGTTCTTTGATAGAACTCGGTCATCCATCGAAACCGGATATGCGCTGGTACGCTTCTTGTTCGTCAAGATACAGTACTGCCTTAAACTGTACAGGATGGCCAAGTAAGAATGCGAGGTACTGTATATGGGAACCTCTCCATAGGAGAGGCGACAAAAAAAACTGGATAAAATGGCCAAGAGAGAAACCTGGAAAATATTTTCAAGTTTCTGAACTGGCCACTTGGGAGCGTAATTGCAATCTTGAATTTCAAACTTGACAATAAAAGGAAGTTCAAGAAAAAATAGTTTAAAGAATATAAAAAATTTAAGGGATTCTTGTATAAAATTTTCTTTGGCCTACATTGTTTCATAAAAAATCAAAAATTAACCATTTCTGTCTAATAAATCCCTCTAGCGGCCAGATGTGATACTGAAAAATCTTCTAATATTAAAGCATTCTTAGCCCAGGAATAGCTCCTTTCAACTAGCCGAAGTCTGTTGGAATCGGCTAAGCCGTTTCGAAGATATGGAAACCCCCCAAAGATATGGAAACCCCCCGACCACTTTATTCTTAGAGGTAAAGCAAATATTGTGAAACAAAAAAACGTTCACAACATCCTCATCTTTAAAAATCAAGTATTTTTTTGTTAGGTTAATATAGCGGAATTCACAGAAACATCAATTTTTTAGATTCAAGATTGCAGTTACGCCCCCTAGCGACCATTTCAGG